AGATGTTCTACTGTGGGAGCACGGCAACCCCCAAAGCTTCATAGAAGGCTCAGGATAGACTCCATGTACTGGAGATTGTGGCAGAGTGTGTCTACACCTAAAAATGTCTGAGTTCAGAAGGAAGGAGGAAAATGGGGTTGCTCCACTGAGGCGGGCAGTCTTCTGCAGCCCGTCTCGTGACCAGGGAGCTGAGGCAGAGAGACCTGGGCCAGAGGGCCAGGTCCAAGACTGGCCCCAGGGTAAAAAGTCCAGCCCTGATCAGCAGTCTTCACAGAGAACCCTGCAAAGTATCTCTTCCAGGGCTGCAGAGAACCAAGATGACAAATGAGCTTCCAGTCCTTGTATCTGTGCCCACAGACCAGGCCAGGCAGGAACCACTGTCACCAGCAGGGAAGAGAAGTGAGGCCAAGGTTCTTAGGTCTCCGTAGCAGTTCCCGGTGCCTGGAATATCTGAGTCACAGTTTTCTTTTAAAGACATCTTAATCCAGAGACATCATAAGCTCCTTTCCCAGGAGAGGGATTTCCTGATCTGGCATGTTGCCCAGGAGATAGTAGGTACTGCTGACTTGACCTAGTGCCCCAAAGGAAGGGACAGTACAGAGGGACCCGGTGGCGTAGGACAGAGCCTCTGAGCCAGAAGAGGGCAGCAATTCTTCTGTCTTCAGGGTGGTGGGGATGAGGGCCACCACTCAGGCAGTACTGAAGGCAGCCAGCTGACCAGGTAGTCTGACCAAGAGCTACAGGTGTCACAGCTACTAACTTGTGATGAAGCAACCAGATCATGTGGGAGGATTGAACAAGAGCATCTATCAAATAAGGTCTAGACAGTCTCCCATCCTGGTCTCCTGTCCTGAGTAAAGACATTGCTTTCCTCCCAGCACAGAAGGGAATTTCAACGCTTGCTTCTAGTAGACAGGATTATCAGCTATTGGCTTCTGCCTGATAATTCAAAGCAGTCAATGTGCCAGAGTGGCGTAGTTTTAACTCCCTCGTCTGACTGTGGTTGTACCCAGATATACTTGACTTGAAGACCATGTGGGCAGTGCTGTTGAGTGGTTAGGTACTGGACAGTAGCCAACAGTAGCTGCCTGGTCCTGATTTGGTCCTAGGTTGAGCTGAGGTGCCCAGAGGCCACCCCACTCCAGTCAAGCCTACTCTTAGAGCAGCTTGTGGGCCCTTCTGTGCATCCAGACAGCAGTATGTAACCCTCTGTCTGTTAGAATCATTGAGGGAGGTGGTGGTATCAGGATCTATACAGGCTCAGGCCTCCTAGATGACCACCTAGGCTGAAAGCCAGTCAGAACTTTGTGGGGATCTTGGAGGCGTACACGGGAACCTGGCTGGGTTTGTCCCAGTGCTGAGTTTAGGCTGGGGTAGGTAGACTCTGGGAAGTGACCAGATGCCACTCGTGGGTGGTTGAGGCATTCTGAGCCCTGAAGTTCTCTCTGAACCCTGCCAGGAGCTCTCGTGGGAGCCCTACCTGTCCCTCAGAGCCCTGCTTGCAGCTTCCCTCTGGGATATTAGGACTTTGGGTTGGCGAGGAGATCAGCTGCCTTTCACAGGGTGGAAGTCCTGAGAAAACACTTGCAGAGTAGATGTGAATGAGCAGATGATTTGGTGCACTGCACTGATTCAGACACATTTGCATAATCGCTGGAACCCGTGACTTTTGCCGCCTCCTTTTTGTCAGTCTGATTTCTGGGTAATTCCTTTAGTTTGACGGTCACGGAAAACCGTCAGGGACACTGAGAAATGCGTTAAACCTGACTGTCTGAGGCCCTCTTGGAAGGTCCTGGGTTTGCATTCCCATATGCAGGGCAGCTAGCCAAACGGACCTGTGGAGACCATTGTGGGCCATTTTTCTCTTCTTCTTTTCCATTTTCTCCTCATTTTTTTTTCTTGTTTTCAGATACAGTCTCACATAGCTCAGGCTGGCCTTGAACCCACTATGCAGCCAAGGAGGAGTTTGAATGTATGATCCTTCTGCCTTCATTTCCCAAGTGCTGGGATTACAGGCATGCACCGCCACATCCAGTTTTATGCAGTGCTGGGGATTGAATTTAGGGCTTTGTGTGAATACTCGGTCTACCAAGTGAGCTGTAGCCCCAGCCGGCATTTTGTTTCAAACGAGCTGAAGATGCACAAAGGATTTTCGCCCAACCCACCCTGAGGGTCATCACCCCACTCTGCCACCCCACAGATCCTGCGCCCACACCTGAGGGGTCATCACCCCACTCTGCTACCCTACAGATCCTGCGCCCACACCTGCGCCCACCCTGAAGGGTCATCACCCCACTCTGCCACCCCACAGATCCTGCGCCCACCCTGAGGGGTCATCACCCCACTCTGCCACCCCACAGATCCTGCGCCCACACCTGAGGGGTCATCACCCCACTCTCCTACCCTACAGATCCTGCGCCCACACCTGAGGGGTCATCACCCCACTCTCCTACCCTACAGATCCTGCGCCCACACCTGAGGGGTCATCACCCCACTCTCCTACCCTACAGATCCTGCGCCCACACCTGAGGGGTCATCACCCCACTCTCCTACCCTACAGATCCTGCGCCCACACCTGAGGGGTCATCACCCCACTCTCCTACCCTACAGATCCTGCGCCCACACCTGAGGGGTCATCACCCCACTCTCCTACCCTACAGATCCTGCGCCCACACCTGAGGGGTCATCACCCCACTCTCCTACCCTACAGATCCTGCGCCCACACCTGAGGGGTCATCACCCCACTCTCCTACCCTACAGATCCTGCGCCCACACCTGAGGGGTCATCACCCCCCTCTGCTACCCTACAGATCCTGCGCCCACACCTGCGCCCACCCTGAGGGATCAACACCCCACTCTGCCACCCTACAGATCCTGTGCCCACACCTGCGCCCACCCTGAGGGGTCATCACCCCACTCTGCCACCCCACAGATCCTGCGCCCACCCTGAGGGGTCATCACCCCACTCTGCCACCCTACAGATCCTGCGCCCCACACCTGCTCCCTCAGGTCTGCTCTCTGAGCCTCAGTCCTTCACAGGGCAGTAGTCAGTGTTAAGATGGGGGGCGGGGCTTGGAGGTGAGAGCTGATATATGTCCAGGGTGAGCCGCCATCCCTGGGCTGGAGTCTTCCTCAGGTGTCAGTCCCAGCAGAAGCAGTTGACAGAAGAGCTTTGCAGGAGTCTTTGTGACCTACACAGCAACGAGGCCAGGTTCCTATCACCGCTGGGTTTGTGCTTGAGTGGATGGACTCCTAGAGGTACACAGGTGCTACCTCCATGCCTGTTGGTATCACACCTCAGGCTTAGCCTCCCTCGGGCTTATAGTGTTGTGGGCAAGGTGCTATGTATGCAGTGTTGACTCGGAAACTCTGGCCAGGGTTAGGGAGGCTCTGTGTCTGGATGATGGGAGGATATGTAGGGCTCAGACAGAGAGAAGCTGTTCAGACACTGCATGCACAGACTCTGGAGACCAGAGCACCAGGCAACCCTGACGTCACTGCTATAGGGAACTGCTCAGCAGCACCATCAGCTGCTGCCAGATTTCTAGAGTGATGTGACAGAAACCACAGCCAAAATGTGTGTGCAGCTTCTGTCCACCACCAGCTGCTTCCGTCTCCATGGCTCGCTTCTAGTTTCTGTGCAGACTGGGTGTGTCACTCTACCCAGTTTACACTGTGGAGCTTACTGGGTGTGTCACTCTACCCAGTTTACACTGTGGAGCTTAGTGTTCTTGCTTGCTGTCTAGAAGTTGTTGCATATCATTGAAAGTCCTATAAATGTCATGTCAATGACTGTGCGACAGGTGCTGAGCTAACCTGTCCATGCCGGGAAGCTGTTGGCTGCACGGTGCTTGAAGTCTGCTTGCTTCTCAGGAGCTGTGGAGACCCTTTATCTTGGGTACATTCACAAGAGAAGGAACGTGGGTCTCCTCGGGATGGATACAGGTTTCGTCAAGAGACCATTGCCACTGAAGTGTGTGGTCAACTCCAGGCCACCTGCCTTTGGGTGAGGCACCTGGGAGTCTCACCTACCTCAAGGTCCAGAATCCTTCAGACCCTGCCTGGTGCGCCATGAAGACTTGGAGGTCACAGGCTGTGGAAACCCTCAGTAATGGCTCTGGTTACTGAGGCCACTGGTCTTTAAAAGGGTTACTGTGGCTTGCAGTGGGGACAGGTATTGGCTGTACACCAGCAATTTGTGTCTTAACTCCTGATTTCCCTTTGGAATCTTGGTCCCTGGTTTTGATTGACACTCCTTGACCATGAGAGATGCCAGTGTCTTTTCTCCTCACCTCATCCCCTGACCTGCTCCTCTCTGCGAAGCAATTGATAGGCAGTGTGTTAGCCATGCCAGTGCTGGTGGTTGACCATGACGGCACAATGCTCGGTGCTGTCCTTAAGGGATGAGCAGAGACCCTATCATCCTGGACAGATCTTGCTGTGGTGGGAAGGATCACACTCTGTAGGTCTATGAAGGCATTTCCAGGAAGCAGAGAACAGACAGGAAGGAGAGCTAGGTTATAAAACTTAAAGGTTCCCTGCCCCCTGTGACCTACTTCCTCCAGCAATCTACCTCCCAAAGGTTCTACAATCTTCCAAAAAGAGCCATCAGCTGGAGACTAGTTTTTTAAACACATGAGCCTGTCAAGGACGTTTCATACTCAAACCACAACAGTCCCCAATAGCCTCAAAGTCACTTGTTGATCCAGACCCCAGGAGAAGAGGTGCTGGGGCTCAGAAAGGTGCGGTACCTACCCAGGTCATGGTTAGTGAGGGGCTCAGGCACCAGTGTAGTGCTCCTCACACAGGCAGCCTACCATGAAGCGCAGGCTCTTGTCCAAGTGCTCTGTGGCTGGGCTCTGCCAGTCTGCGGAAGGTGCCTCTTCATCGCCTCATCCTGCTATGGCTGAAACCATGATCCTTTCAGGGCTGTGTTGGAGGTGGAAGGGGCTGCAGAGCTCCCTCCCCAGCATTCTGCTGAACTGCCCTCCACCCTCCAGGTGTGCATCGTGCAGAAGCGAGACACAGAGAAGATGTACGCCATGAAGTACATGAACAAGCAGCAGTGCATTGAGCGTGATGAGGTTCGCAACGTCTTCCGGGAGCTGGAGATCCTGCAGGAGATTGAACATGTCTTCCTGGTGAACCTCTGGTGAGCTTGCCCCATGGACCTGCCAGGGGTGACCCCGCAGGGCACAGAGGGTCCTGCTGCTCTCTGGCTCAGACACCCTTTGGACCCCCTTTCCTCCCTGCTGCTCATCTGCTCATCTTCCTGTGCTATTGAGGGCCCCATGGTGTGGTCTCATACAGAATTTCCCCAGGGTCTGCTGGAAGCCCAAGGTTTAATACAAAGGAGATGTGATACCACAGGGGTCTGGCGCTGGACTCAGGAAGTTTAGGGGCTGACCTTGAGGTTCCTGCACAAAATGAGTACCACAGGTATAAGAATCTGCAGGCTTCTTGGAAGTTGGTCCTTCCCTCTCCAGGAGTCGTCCCTGACTGAGGATACTCTTCTCTGCAGGGTGCTCCCTGACCCACAAGTCCTTCCCAGCCCAGGGATCCTGCCCAACCCAGAGATCCCCCCAAATGTAGGGTCTTCCCTACCAGGGTTCTTCCTTAGCTCAGGGGTCTTCCTAACTCTGGAGTCCTCCCTAATGTATGCATCTTTTCTGACTCAGTTCTCCATCACAGCTTCCCGTAATGGGCCCATGTGCTGTATGCTGTGTTCCTGGCTGGGCATGCTTGGCAGAGGCTCTGTGGGTCACAGGGGTCCATAGCAGCAGGAATCCCTGGCCAAGCAGCCTCTGGAGGACATAGGTGCCTCTCCCCCATAGGTGACCAGTATCCATTAGCAGAGCTTACAGGAAAGAGCAGTCAGCTGGAGCTTGGGGAAATGGAGAGCAAGTGCATTCTGTTTGACAGTGAATCCGAAGCAGCTGTTTGCAGTCTGACATAAGTAGGGCTTTCAAGAAACTTCAGAGTAGACCATGGCCACTTCCCAGAGGCCACACAGCGTAGCTTAGGAATGGTGTCACATATGTTTGCTACATGATGACCAAGAGATGGGCAGAGCAGTGGCAGGACCTGCCTTCTTCAGGCAGCTGGGCAGAATTGGAGTCCTGATCAAGGCAGTTGGAACTTGGTGGCGCTCAGGCTGTCCAGGCTGAGAAAGTGTGTGTGTGGCCGCCATTTTTACTCACAGAAACCCTAGTGAGCTTGTGGCTGGCAGTTTTCTAGGCAGACTGAGGGGTGATGGGGGTAGATGGCATCATTGTGGTGCACAATCCCATCTTGTTTTCAGTATTCTGGGGCAACATTCTAAAGTGGGGTGCCGTCTAAGCACCAAGTGCCCTTAAACCTGCATCTGTCACGTTGTGGCCAAGGAGGTCAGGCCTGGGTGTGACTTATCCTCACACAGGGGTAGGTCAGTAGGAGGGAAGAGTTCACTGTGAGGTGAGGACGCAATGTTGGCACTGAGGCTTCTTGCAAAAAAGAAAGAGCAGGATTTTCCTCTTCTGGTCCTTAGCCATGCCCCTTCCCCAGGCTCTCTGAAAGGCAGTGTATCCTAGTGGTCAGGCATATGGATTCCTGACTGAGTCCTATACTGTGCCATGGTTCACATACCTGACCTTGTTCTTAGTCTCCTCACCTGTGTGGGGCAGGTTGTCCCTAGTGCTGCCATCTGCGACTGTGTAAGTATCTGTGTGAGCCAGGCCACAAGCCGTCAGTTCAGATGCTGTGCTTCCCCCTGCTGCAGTGGGTTCTCCAAACACTGGCCCTCCAGGAGATGTCACCTGCCACCCAGAGCCATATACAGGGGGCCACCATGACTGGGCCTCCAGTGGGGGAGGCCACGTGCTCTTGTTGGCTGCTGTCCAGGACCCTGGCCCCTCTAGGAGCCAAATATTCTGAGTCTCTTTGCTACACGACCCCTTCCTTGACCGCCTGCCCGCACCACCTTCTTCAGGACACCTTCCACCATGGAGGGCAGGAAGGGGTCATTACATGAAAATGATTTGTCTTTGACTTTCTTTATGAAAGATCCAGTTATTTAAAGATTAAAGCTACACTAAGAGCTCACAAAAGAAGGTACGAAGTGGAAGCAGGTCCTTAATTCTGCTGCCGCTACCACCATTCACCATTGGCATCCCTCCACCAGCACCACCACCATCCCTATCACCAGTACCATCATCACCACCACCAGTAGCACTGTCATCAGCATCTTCATCACCGTCACCACCAGCACCATCTATCACCAGCACCATCAGCAGCAGCAGTATCATCACTACCATCACCATTACCATTACCATCACAACACCTTCATCTCCACCAGCATATACCACCACCACCACCAGCAGCAGCAGCACCATCACTGTCAGCATCATCACTATCACTACCATGACGATCATCACCAACACAATCATCACCACCACTATAATCATCACTGTAATTACCACCGTCACTATCACTGGTACCACCATCACCCCCACCAACACCGCCACTGGCACTGTCTCCCATGATCCCTTCCTCTTTCTTCGACAAGCCTCTAAGGCTGACCTTTTTAACCCCATAGAAAACCAGAGCAGCCTGAAACCACCCAGGAACATGCACTGTGATTCTGTTCTCCGATTGTCGCTCACCGGTGTCTGCCGCCCCTGCTGAGCCACCCACAGGGGCTTTCCTGTTTTGTTTTCTCCAGGGTCTCAGTGCAGACAGCGCTGAGCTGGGGTCTAGTCAGTGTCTCAGGCAGGATGGCGATGGTAGCACAGGGCTGTGGTCCTCAGATCAAAAGGAAGTACCAGCTGCGGCAGAAGCCGTGGCTCTGGCTCCCCAGCCATCCGTACACCAGGACTTCCCTTGGCGCCCCCAGGTACTCATTCCAAGATGAGGAGGACATGTTCATGGTGGTGGATCTGCTTCTGGGTGGAGACCTGCGTTACCACCTGCAGCAGAACGTCCAGTTCTCGGAGGACACAGTGAGGCTGTACATCTGTGAGATGGCGCTGGCCCTCGACTACCTGCGCAGCCAGCACATCATCCACAGGTGTGTCCTGTGGGGTGGGGCACCTGCTAAGGTTGGGTGGTTGCTAATAACCTTGGGTCAGGCCACCCAAGGGGCATCCGCATGCCAGCAGAGCCTGGTCTGGCTCTTCAGCCCACCCTTCCCTAAGGGGAACCTGGGGTGGGCCCTGTCCAAGCTACCCCATTTGGGTCTGGACACAGAGGACCTAGTTCTCCTGGATGAACCACAGGGCCTCAGTTACCCATCCTACCACATCCTGGGGAATTCACACTGATTTTGGCATTTGTGTAAAGCAGGTGGAATTAGGAAACATCTAATTAGAAAGCAGGTGAAATCAGGAAGTAGAAATTAGACTGAAATTCTGCAGCCTCAGAACAAACTGAGGTGTGTTACAAATCAAATAAACCTGATTTCTGCCTTCCTGTCCTGGGAATTATGTTGTGTGGTCATGATTCAGGTGTGCAGTGGTCATTGAATACTAGCTGTGTCCCTGGAACTCAGGGCAGAGAGGATTGAGGCCAGGTTATCAGAGGGGCAAAATAAGAGCTGCACTTCCAGGCAGTCCCAGGGCTCTGGTGATGGGCACTGTGGGAGCCTGGCCAGGAGGGTCTGCTGCTGTCCCCAGGGACTTCCAGCTCTAGGGACTGTCTGGGCAGTCCCAGATGTTCTCTGGCCACCTGACTCAGAAGGTTGGGTGCTGGTGGCTTTCTTGCAGCTGGCTTCTGGGTTGCCCCGGTGCCCTCTGAAAAGGGGGGGCTTCTCCCCACCCCTTGCCAGGTCCATTAGGACCCTGTGTCATCCTAAATACCAAGTCATACCTTCCAGGCCTCTGCCTCTGGTGAAGGGGTTTGGGGGTCAGGACAGGCATGGCATTCGTTCAGGTCCCTTTCTTCCTGCCTTCTGCCCTCTCAGAGATGTCAAGCCTGACAACATTCTTCTGGATGAGCAAGGTGAGTGTCAGGAACCCCAGGACACCAATGGGAGGGAGGGCAGGCACCCCACCAAGGACCTGGAAAGCCATGCCTGCCCTCTTCTCGCAGGACATGCACACCTGACCGACTTCAACATTGCCACCATCATAAAGGATGGAGAGAGGGCAACAGCATTAGCAGGGACCAAGCCATACATGGGTAAGCCCAAGGTCTCAGATGACACCTGGTCATGCAGGCCTATGTCTCTGCCTCAGTCCTCACTCCATAGTCAGCTCTGAAGTCACAGCAGGGTTGACAGGACCTCTTTATATGATTAGTCTGGTACATGTGAAAAGATCTGAAAATGTACAAGAGAGTTGTAGGGTGGAAAATAAGACAACCCACTGCACACACACACCCTCACAAAAATCCTACACACATTCATGGGGTAGAGGACCAAGGGTTGAACCAAGCGGTCTGGCCATACACAGGATGCTTTCTGCTGGGGACTATTCTAGAAAGGGGTTGCTCCCCACAGGTGGAACAGGGAAGCATGGTAAATGGAGTTCCCCTTTAGCTCTGGTCCAGTCTGCTTTCAGGGCCTTGCAGTGAGGTGTCCAGTCATCAGGGCCATAGCTCAGCTGTTCCTCTTCTTTCTTGGAAAGCTCCAGAGATCTTCCACTCTTTCGTCAATGGTGGAACTGGCTACTCCTTCGAGGTGGACTGGTGGTCGGTGGGGGTGATGGCTTACGAGCTGCTACGAGGATGGGTATGGAGCCCTGTGGCCCCAAACTGGCCACTTCCCTGCCCCAGAGGGGTTGAGACCCTGCAAGGGAGGAGGCTGCCCCCAAAACCTCAGATAACTTGGGCTTTTTAGCAACTGGGATGGATGCCTGAGCAAGAGAGTTTCCTGGAGCAGTTAGTGGGGGACAGAGCAGTGTCTGGCAGGTACCTCCTCAGAACTAGCAGGTCTGGGGGGGTGTACTTTTCTGTCCAGGGGCAGGAGGCAGGAGGCTGCTTAGCTCTCCTATTGCCCTCTGTGTCCTCTCTGGGGGGACCATCAGCCACTCCATGGGCCCCCAGCCCTGAGGAAGACTGCTTCTGGAAACTTCTCTGGGACTGATCTACCCTGGCCCCAGTCCTGGAGGCAGGATGTGCTTCCTTGGCCGATGAGCATCTGGGCTGTAGCAAAGCTCCACCTCCTCAGGCTCTGGATCAGGTGGACACTGCTCTGAGCTGGGTCTGCACTTAGGAGTGGAGGTGGGGGCTCTCGGGGTGTTGGGCGCTCATGTCTGGGAACGGTGGAGATGAGGAGCACCTGGTGCAGTACGTTCCTGTCCACAGAGACCCTATGACATCCACTCAAGCAATGCTGTGGAGTCACTGGTGCAGCTGTTCAGCACCGTGAGCGTCCAGTACCTGCCCACCTGGTCCAAGGGGATGGTGGCCCTGCTGCGGAAGGTGAGCCCCCTCCCCTCCAGGGCACCTACCACTCCTGCACTCACTGTTCCTGGAGAGCAGGGATGCACCCCATCATTTCGTGAGCACAGATCCCTTCACTAGCACTGCCATGACCTTTCCCAGGCAGTCACTCTGAGATCATCATCCAGCTCAGGAAAGGGTATTGGGCCAGGTGCAGATTTTGAGTTCTCTGCCAGCCTGACTGGACCCTTACGGTGACCTGAATCACGGCATACTCTTGTCTATGAGCCTGTCGAGAGCCCACGTGTCAGGCTAGCACCCCACTTCACAGATGGTCACACCAAGGCAGAGAATGAATGGATGAACCATGTGTGGGAGGATGTGCCCATGTGTACTGTGGTCCCTCTGCCTCTGCTCCCATCCTGAAATCTACATAGGGTCTGGGGTACCACTCCCAGGGTGCAAGCAAAAAGGAAAGCAGGTCCTCCTACAGCTGAGCTTTGTCTACACAGGGCCACTGTATGGCCAGGGGCTGGGTGGGGGCTGTTACCCATGTGGAGAGCCCTTATTTAAATGGTCCATCCAAAGGGATGGAGTGAGAGCAGAGCCCTCAGTCAGGACAGGTGTGGAGAAAGGCTTATACATGAAACCTTATCAGTTCTTGGTCAAGCAAGAGGGATCCTGGTGACCTGCTGCCCTGGTTGTTTCTGGGGTTTGGCGGTTCCACAAGGTGGTGGAAATGGCTTTGCAGTAGTTAGTTGGGCTACCATAAAATTACAGGAGACAGCAGAATGGTAGCCAGGCCACTGCTGCCACCTGCTGGCGAATCCTGGCAGGATGTCCGTGCAACTCCTCTGCTGTCCTTGGGCACCAGGGCAGGCAGATCAGACGGTCCCTAGGCAACGCTGCTTTGCCTGAAACGGATGCCCTCTTTGCTCACGTGCCCCTTGAAAGACCGAGGTGCCAAGCCTCACACCTGTGGACGCCTCTAGTGGTTGCTTCAGCCTGGAGGAGGCGGCCATCCTGTGGGGCTGTCTGACGGCTGGCCTCCTTTCAGCTCCTCACCGTGAACCCTGAGCACCGGTTCTCCAGCCTCCAGGACATGCAGACGGCCCCGTCACTGGCCCACGTGCTGTGGGATGACCTGAGTGAGAAGAAGGTGGAGCCGGGCTTTGTGCCCAATGTAAGCTTGCATGCTCAGATGGTGATTCCAGGCTGGCTAGGTGGGGTGGCACCCGCAGGCTGGGCTCAGTACCCTGTCCTTCCACAGAAAGGCCGCCTGCACTGTGACCCCACCTTTGAGCTGGAGGAGATGATTCTCGAGTCCAGGCCGCTGCACAAGAAGAAGAAGCGGCTGGCCAAAAACAAATCTCGGGACAGCAGCAGAGACAGCTCCCAGTCGGTGAGTGTGGGGCTCAGGCTGTGGATCTTCTGTGTGTGATGTGTAAGGCCCTTTTGTGGTGCTATTAAGACCTCTGGGCAGGGCACTCATTTTGACAGCATGGTAGGTGGTCTTCCTGAAGTCCCGAGGAGGCCCAAGACCTTCCCTCTACCTGTCCCAGCTTCCCCATCGAACCCCTCCCCATTCACACAGCTTCCCCCATTGGCTGACTCTTTCCTAATGGGCTAGACCATGTCCACCTGTAGGACCAGCCATGAGCGAGTGCAGGGACAGCAGGCAGGTGTAGCTATATCCTGGCGTGTCAGTGCCCAGGCACCAGTACCCAAAGTCAAAGTGCTGGCAAAGCTGTGCTCTCTAAAGGTTTTCCTTCTTCAAGGGGAAGGAAAACCTTTCTGTGCCTCCCTGGCCTTGGTGATGGCTGTCAGTCCTGAGCATTCCTGGGCAGGCAGACTCCTTACTTGAGTCTCTGCCCTCACTGTCACTGGCCTCCACCCTGTGTGTCTATGCCTCCTCTTCTCACTAGACACCACAAAACAGCCTTATGCCCTTGTCCCAAGTTGGGGACATTTGCAAAGACCTTATTTCTAAGTAAAGACAGTCCCAGGTGATAAGGGTTGGATCCTGAACATATTCTTTTTTGTGGGAGGATGAGGGCACAGTTTAGCCCCTAATACCAGCTGTATAGCTGTTGTACACAAAAGCAACTGCTGTGTGTTGATTTCTACGAGGCTGTGGTGACAGCTGATGACAGTGGTTACCCTACCCCTAGGCCTGTCTGAGCCTGTGAAGGACACTCTGGAGTGCCCCAGGACCCCAACCCCAGCTTCCCAGACCTGGTGGGCCCTATCTAGTTCCTGAGCAGATGGGCATCAGTCCCCTCTTCACTGATGTGGGGTGCAAGTCTGGGATCATCCCCTAGGTGCCTCAAGTTTTCAGGTTTGGGTAGGTAAATGGGACACCTGTCCTCTCCGTCCCCCAACTTCCAATGGCTCTTCTGGTGTTGGTGGGTGGAATTGCAGTCTGACAGCTCCTGGGTCAGCTGCTAAATGAAGGGATGGTGGAAGGTTTCACCCCAGTCCCTGGAACCAGGGCTTTCGGGACTAGGAACTGGCTCTGTATGTGACTGGGTGCCTCACATGAGATCAGCACAGAGAGTGGGCAGATGCCAGTTGACTTCTAGAGACGGTGAATGGGAACCAGTGAGGTTAGACACCTGTATATGGAGGTGCTCAGCTTGGTGCTGGGGCATTTGATGGTGGGAGATGTTCTGAGGGAAAGCCATCACCAAGAAAATGTCTCCATGTTCTTATGGAGAATTAAGAACCTTGAAACTGAGGCTCTTTAATTAAGACCTTTATTCTGATACAAATCACAAAGCCCCCCCCAATTAAAAACCCATCACCAGTGGTTTCTAGCACTCTCAGAGGGGTATACATCCATCACAGCCTAAGCGGACTTTCTCATAGAAAGAAGCCCCATACCAGTAGCTGTTCCCGCCCCTCCCCTGCAGGCTGCTAACCTGCCTGTCTGTGGATTTCCCTGCACTGGCATTTCACCTACATGAGCTGGTACATGTGGTCTTTGATGACTGACTTCCTGCTTGGCACTATGTCTTCAAGATTGGCCCACACTGCTCCATGTGCCAGCATCTCATTTCTTCTTATTGTGAATGATATTCCATTTTTGTATTGTTTATGAATATATCCCGTTTCGCTCAGTCATTTGTCAGCTGACAGATTTGGGCAAGTTCCACTTTTGGACCATTGTGACGCTGCTGTGGGTGTTCATGTGCCCTTGTATGGGTGCATTCTCATGTTTCTTGAGGGGGACCTTCGCATGACATATCTGGGTTATGTGAAACCTTTATACCTTTGTTTTCAGTGTGTTGTGAAGTAGATGGGCCATTCTCTGTTCCCACCAGCCATGATGGGGCTCTGACTCTTCATGTCCTCGAGAGCTCATTACTGTTCAGTTTGTTTGCATCTTAAGTTGTAACCATCACACTGAGCGTGAAGACATGGAGTTTTTCACTTTTCTTTTTCTTAAACTGAATCTTTTCGTGCAGCCCAGGCTGTCCTGGAACTCACTTAGGAGCCCAGAGCGACCCTGAACTTCTGATCCTCTTACCTCTACCTCCTGAGTGCTGGGATTATAGGCATGTACCAACCTGCTTGGTTTTATACCATGGTCTGTTTTAATACCAAGCAGTCTTAGGGATGGAACCCAGGGCTTTGCACGTTAGGCAAGCACCTAGCCTCATGGTTGGTTTTGATTCACATTTCTCTGACTAATAGAGATCTTTTTGTATTTATTAGACATTTCTTTTTGGGAAAATGTCTGTTCCATTTCTTTTAAAGCCGGATTAACGCTTCCAAGTTCACTCTGACAGTGTCTGTCCTTAGCTGTATTTGGACCACTCACATCAACAGCGATGCCTCACACAGTTGGATTCTTACTCGCTGTGCTTAACCCAGCCTACTTGCCCTGTGTTCTTCTTCCCATTTTACCTCAGGTTTTCATTGAGCTTTTTATGATTTTCCTTCATCTCCCTGAGCTCATCAGTTTCACTTCTTTTCTTATTTTTATCTTATGTGTATGAGTATTTTTCCTACATATATGTAAGGGCACCCATGTGCCTGCGGAAGAGGGTGTTGGATCCTCCGGAACTAGACTTACAAATGGTTGGTAGCGGCCTTGTGAATGCTGGGACCAAACCCGGGTCCTCTGCAAGGCTTTTCTTCCAACACTTCAGATGCCCCACACCATTATTCTTCTTGCATAGTCTCTCACAAGAAATCTGGTGATTCTTTGTTTTACTGAAAGTGGAATTTTTTTCCTCCTTCTGGTATCTTCCAAGGCTTTTTCTGTCATTGTTCTTTCTATGGTTTGAATGAGATACACCCCAGTGTGGGCTTTTTTCCTCATTATCTTGCATGGTGTTCTCTAAGCCTCTTCATCTGTGGTTTCAGAAAATCCCCAGCCGTTATTATCCACACTGTTCCTGCTCCTTCTGGTTCCCCTCTCATGCATATTTAAACCTTTTGAAATCATCCAAAGACTTCCGGATATCCTATGTTTAAAAATTCTCCTCTTTGCAGTGTGGTCTGGGAAGTTGCTGTTGATGTTTCTCTGTGCTTAGTGGTGCTTCCCTCTGTGGCCCAGTCCCCACTGAGCTTGGCAGAGGCTGGCTTCATTTCTGGTGCTCTGTTCCCATTTCTGGTTCTGTCACTTTGTCACCTGACCCGTCTGTTCTCACACGTTGTCTAGTCTCCCATTAGAGTCCTTAGCGTGTACATCGCCGTTGTTTTAAACTCCTGATGATTCCAACATCTCTGTCATGTCTGCTGGATCCTGGTGTGTGTTTTACATTTTATATTTGTGTTCCGTTTCACATACCTTGTGAGTTTTGCTGGAATCTTGATGTGGTGTGAGGTAGTCGCAGCTGAAGTGGAAGAGCCTTTAGGCAGAGCAGACCATATCTGATATCTGCTGGAGCTGCAGGCCACAGAGTCTAGATTCCTAGTGTTCTTTCTGCCTCCTCTGCTGCCTTCAGCCTCCCTGAGTCCTCAGAGAAGCCCTGGGTTGCATGGCCTTGTGCTATGACCTGACACTGTGCTGGAGCCCGCTGGTGCTGGTGGGGAGGCTCTGTGGTCTGTACTAACCCGTGTATCCGCACTGGCACTTTTCAGCTCTTCCCCCCCACCTTAGGTGAGATAACAAGGCTGTGGGGCTTGGGGCAGGGGGCGTTGTCTGAAAACCTCCTTCCCAATGTGATGTTGTTTTCCCCGGACCTCAATTCCCACGTGAATTCCCATCTCTGGGGGTGTGTCACGTGATTATTCTTCCCTCCTCTGCCAGACCCAAGTGGGAACCTTTCTGAACTCTCCATTAATACTTGCTAGCTTCCTGGACTAAAGCCCATAAAGAAGTGGGGTCCTGTGGTTTGTGTCCAGGAGCACTGTCCACTCAGCCTCAGGATCCCTCAGAGTCTTTGTGGGCGTGTTCCTGAAGCTCTTAACCCCAGTGGCTTTGAATTCAAGGAGGCATATCTCAGCTGGGGTTCTGTTGTCTTCTGATCGGGGGCACTGGTGGTCTTCTGTCTTCAGTTCTCTAACAGGTCCAAGAAGAGTTGTTGAATTTCAGTTGGTTTAGCCTTTTCTGGTGAAAGAATGAGAGGCAGCTTCCAAGTTGGCAACACAGCAGAGCCCAGCAGAATCCTTTTGTTTTTGTTTTCTTAGGAGTTACTTCTTTACGCCTTTGGATGAAGCCCTGTCAGATGGATGACTTTCACGTGCTTGACTCTCCTTGGGCTCTTTTTTCTTTCTTGGAGTGGCCTCCTCTGCAGCAGGAAACCCTGTCACTCTGTGCGCCCCAGTACATCTGTGACTTGTGCATAACCATGTTGGGAAGCATCACTGAGCCTGCAGTCATGAGGAGTTCCCTGCCTGTTTATAACTCCAGCCCTTGCATTTATGTCCAGGATCCACTTTGAACTGATTTTTGTACATGGTGTCAGGGAAGGGTCCAGTTTCATTCTTTTGTATATGGATATCTAATAGTTGCAGAAACATGTTAAAAGGGCGATTCTTCTCACACTGAATTGCTTTTTAAAAACATTGATTGACCATAAACAGCAGGGTTTATTTATGGACTCAGTCCTACCCCATCAATCTGTCCTCCCCCAGCACAGCATCTTGGTTACTGTTGTTTCGAAGTCAGTTTTGAAACAGGAAATTACAACTCTTCCCACTTTGTTCTTCTCTGCCAAGATTATTGCCTGTTTTAGGCCCCTTGCATTTTTGTGAATTCTGAGTGGTTTGGGGGTTGTACCTGAGCCCCTTAGCAGGACTATTGTGACAGAGTTAGGGACTCTGACCTCCATTTCCCAGTCTTGGTTGTCATGGGGGACATGTGGAGTCTGGTGCATAGTCTAAGAATTTACACAGGCTCCAAAGATGCCTGTCTGCCTGAAGATTCCTATGTTCAGAGCTACTCAGAAAGTATTCCCAGGAGTAGTCACTATGGAGGGGAGAGGCCAGAAAGGACTAGGATGGATGATGGTAGGTGGACCCTCAACCAGAGAGTGCGGACTGTGATACAGAAGTGGCCTGCTCCAAAGGAGCCAACTGTTCATATTCCTGCACCCTGGCCACCCTAAGACTTTAGAGAGATCTAGGTTATGGTGGTTTCGTGAGGATTGGCAAAGGACTCCAACAGCTTACAATTGGATGTTCAGGACATGGATGTTCAGAAGGGCCTGTGAGATAGACTTGAGGGTTAGCTCAGCAAACTTCTGAAGACTAGGCCTCCCTCTGTGGAGACAGATGCAGGTACCAGGTCTCCTCGGCATACATTTGTTGTGAACTAGCTGGCCTTCCTCACAAGGGCATATCACTCCCCTAGATGATGGGTTATAGGTCTGAGGGTAGAATTAGATCTGGAAAGCAAGCAGGTAACCCCCCCCCCCACACACACACAGCTGGTGGTGGCCTTTGCCCATCCTGATCTATCTGACCATCAGGAGCCCTGGGTTCTGCTGGATACCACTTCAGGCCCCATCTGCTGTCTCACCCCCTGGTCTTGGTGTGGCTAGCCCATGTTCCTCCTCTGAGTCAATGCAGCCCCCAGGCTCCTGCTTCTTCTGTGTGCCATTATCACCATGAACACAAGGGGCTGGCTTCTATTTATCTCCCACCCCAAGACCCCCCCCGCCAGCTCATTCCTTACCACACTGTACTAGAACGTGGCCATCTTGTAGGTTCTTTGACCTTTACTCTTCAGTCTGTGTGTGCACTTTCTCAGCATCTTCCAAGGATGATCTGTCCTCTTCCCCTGGGCCCCATTCTGGGTTCCCAAGAACTGTCTGATAGTGTTTTGAAATCTGACCACAGGGCTCACGCCAGCAGGAGAAAGTCCTCATGCCCCACAGACGTCCTTCCTCAGCCTCATGTTCTGATTAAAGGCCACTCCCAGGCCACTACCCTGGTTACCTCTGGTGCCCATTAGCTGCGCCTGCAGCATCCTGGAAAATGCCCTTCTGACCCAAGTGGGTCCATCATCCAGCCAGGCCATGGAGCTGGGAGTCACAATAAAGGTCCTGAGGGAGGCTGGGAAGCAGAGACAGATCTTAAGGAAGTGGTCGCCTTCAGGGCGAGATCACAGACCAGGGTCACCTGCAGGTTCATCAAGCACCGGGCGCTGAGGTAACTGTCATTTCTGACCTCTCCTGTGTAACGTCCACTCCTAAGCTCGTCTTCAGCAAATTTACGGGAAGTAGGCTTCTGAATAGCAGAGCTCTCGGCAGCCAGAAGTTTCCTTCCAAGAGTGGGCAATGGGAGCAGGGCTGAGGAACTGCCCAGTGTCCAGTACAGGTCACTGGAAGGTTTTTCTGTCCACAGGAGAACGACTACCTTCAGGACTGTCTGGATGCCATCCAGCAGGACTTCGTGATTTTTAACAGAGAAAAGTGAGTGTGTATGTGAGGAGGGTGAAGTGGGAGTAGAGAAGGGGGTAAGGGGCTACATGGCACAGACGTTTCAGCAGGCATGTGGCCTGTTGAGGACAGCCCCGTCCTCTGGGAAGACCAAGCACCAGTGGCTACAGAAGACAGAGTGGCCCCTGTGGGGACTCCCTGGGAACCTTCTAGATGGACCTAGGTTCAGTGACCAGAATCTCAAGGACGTATTTAGCAGGTGGCTCACATCAGAACCAGTCCTCTTGGTGGCCCCTTCAGGTGTCTGAGTCACACCTGCCACTTGGTCACTCACTCAGAAAGGCTTTTCCTGCTGGGACAGAACTGACAGGTGGCTGGCAGGGCAAGACAGGTCACAGACAGCTAATGCCTGCCTCACCGGGGACAGCCTGATGTGACTGACTTGAAGAAGTGGACACTTCCTATGCCTGGGAAGCAGGGAGGTCTGTACCGGGCTGGAGAAGACGCTCAGTGTGGGGCTGGCTGAGGACACTGGCCCCATCCTGGAGTCAGAGGGCAGGGTGAATAGCGGGTTGCCCAAGCTCTTTGAAAAGCTTTTCCAAAGCTGCTGACTGAAACAGGCTGAGCTCGAGCTCCCTCGACTTCTGCTGGATGTGAGCTGAGAGTTGCAGCCTCCAGCTCCCAGCCCCATAGCTCCATGGCCATCAGCACAGGGTGTGTGGACTGAGCCTCCCCACCAAGGCCCCTCATGTCTACTCTTTGGTTCCCTGCTAAGCCCAGCATGTGCAGAGCAGGGCTTCCAACAAGAGACATTCTTGGCACCCCATGTCACATCCCTGAGGGATACATCCCATGCACCCAAGGAAAAGCCATATACTACTCTGTGCCAGTGGGTCCCGGGGCTGCTGGTGAGGCTGTGCCATATTGCTGGACTGCATAGATCCACTTGTGTACCCCCCTCACCCAGGCTGAGGAGAAGCCAGGAACTCATGAACGAGCCTCTTCCAGGCCCTGAGACTTCGGATATGACAGACCCCACCGTGGACAGTGAGGCAGCGCCCACAGCCCTGCCCATGTGTGGCTCCATCTGCCCCTCATCTGGGAGCAGCTAGGCCACCTGGGCCATGTTCAAGGGCAGTTCCCTTTCAGGCTGCTTTGGAGACTCAGGACGGCCAGGAGGTGGCAGTGGGCAAGTACCTGACCACCCAGCCGACCCACGAGGCTATTGGTGTGGTGAGGCTACCAGGAGCCATGGGTGCCCGTTGAGTGTGGTGGTTGGGCAGGGAGAGCCCTTGGCATTTGGACTGCAGTTACCTCCAACCACGGAGGAAGTCATGCAGCCAACAGGCTGGCTGGTCCCTCTAACTACAGGCTGGCAAGTTACAGGTAGCCAGGGTAGCACAGTGGGGCAGGAGCCCTTGGTCTTGGCTGTACATAGCCTTGTGACCAGGCCCTGCTGTGGCCTAGGCAGAATGTCCTTGAGCTTGTTGCTCAAAGCTGTGGGGGTGGCCCAGGCCTTGCTGGTTCTTGTATGTCACTGAAGGCAGGGGCTAGGGGAGGGAGTGGGTGGGATGGCAAAGAATGTTTTCTAGAAGATATACACTGTTCTGGCAATTTCTGCTGTTTCTGTATAGTTTTCACCTCTGAGAATTACAACGTTAAGAACTGCTGTGTTTCTTGCTCAGTGTGTTCTATGCCCACAGAATGGTGGGACCCAGTTTTCTGTGGATAAAGTCTGTTGGACTGGGGGAGCTGGGCGGTGGCTGTCCCCGCATTTATGGAGACTAGAAATGGGCTGCTGAGGGCAACTTTGAGGTCTGAGTGAGGTGAAATATGTCAAAGACAAGGGAACTCAGGGTAACCCAGTGTGGCATTCACAGGCCCCATCAGGTGCACAGCAATGCGTGGAACATCTGCCCTCACTGCCCCAGGGTTCTATGGTCAGAGGGGCAGCTTGACCTCTCCTGTCCTGAGGAGTTCCACCCCTCTAGTCCAGGACGCCACAGGACTGAGTGGGTTCACTTGGGGGAACCCATGTTATGTGTGGGACCCTCCCAGAAACATGAGGAGGTTCCCCAGTCACTACCTGCAGTCCCTTCAGGTGGCCAGGCTCCAATGAGGACCCAGTTGGCCCTTAAAGGTCAGCGTGTGGCAAGGAAATAGTTGAGAGATTTTGAATGAATGTATAGTAGATGACCATGATGAACACACCTCTCCTTTATGACTCTGAGGGATGTAGTTGCTGTCTGGGTCCTTTGATCACCCTTCTCGATGTGGGAGGTGAGAGACAATGACATGGGATTGCAGCCAGGAAGAGCCCAGGGCTCCAGTCTAAAGCCACACTAACCATGTGTGTCTCCCAGAGGAAGATCCCAGAAGGAAGTGGTGGGCCCTCCAGGTTGGGTCTTCTGAGGCGTTGCTTCAGGGACCAGTGAGACTTTATGAAGAGCCCAGATGCAGACACAGGCCTGTCAGTTTCCAGAGAAATGCTCCCTGTTGCCACTGAGAATGGACTGTTTGGGAGAGGTGGGCCAGGCAGTATAGGAGGCCTCCTGCTTGAATTCCATGCCTGGGATACAGGACTGGGACCATCTTTATGGAAGAGGCTGAGGCCAGGAGGCTAACCCAGCAGTTCCAACTTCAGGAAGGCTCTGATGGGAACTGTCTGATGCTTTGGCTGCAGAAGTGGGGCCTGGCTATAAGCATCTGAGCAGGTCACCTGGGCTGACCCCCACACCACATCACACCTGCAGGGTGTGCCTCACAGCCCTCCATTTACCTCCTCACCCCAGTTGAGGTGGTTTGGGCCTGGCTAGTTGATGTAGGTGTCCTGCTGATGATCATCAGCCAAAGTCCCTGAGAGAACAGCCCCTCCCACCATTTGGGTCCAGTTACTCCCATGGCCCAGAGCAGGCAGAGACCTCACAGCTGAGCAGGGGTGACGGGTTCCATGGTCCTTGTGTAACTGCTTGGCAGGGTGAGAGGGAAGTCTTAACTGTCCATGCACAGGCAACTTCTAACCCAGACATTTTTTATTGACCCAACTCACATCAGGCCTGGCTGGTAGCCAGCCTCTGGTACAGCAGCATGCAGATCCCTGGCTAATATTTCCTCACCATACAAAACTGCTACTCTAGGAAACCTATGGAAAGACACGCTCTGTAGTAAAAGGAGGCTGGTCTTAGCTAAGAGATCATAAAACTCCCTAGAGGGGGGCTGCTTTAGGAGCTCAGGTTTGGTCCTTGGAACTGTATACAAGTGAATCTTTATGTGGGAGGGAGCTGCTCTGCACCGAGTAACTGGTGGATCCCTGAAGTCACAGGAGCTCTGCAAGGCAGAAGCCCCACTTACTTGGTCTCCTCCCTACACCACAGCAGACAGGGACAGACCCTGGAGAGGTAACTGCTTCTAACAACATGGAGCAGATGAAGCTCTGGGGGCTCCCGAGAGGCAGTGGTTCCTAATGGGAGAGGCAGCAGCAAGCGCCCTGACCTAGACCCACCCTCACAAGCTCACAGGCTGGAGAGAACTTCTCTCAGGAAGCACCTTTATGGTGAAGCCAAGTGGGTGGGAGGCACCTGGTCACTGCCATGCCTAACCTCCTTGCCCTGGCAGTGACGTCTCCCCAGATTCAGCCCTCTGGAGGGGTGTCTCACAGTGGGATCTGGGACCCCAAAGGAGAGTTTGTAGGGGAGGGGAGGACAAGGCTGAGCACCTTTCACAGTAACTTCTACAAAGGAAAGAGCTAACTGAAGTGAGTGATCCTCACACCACCTGCTGGTGGGCACAGCACCAGCTTGGACCCAAGTCCCGGTCTAGGAAAGAGAAGTGATGTTGGAGCGTCCACCAGGGGGCGCCATGATCTTCTGAGCAGTGCGTCTGGCGATATGATCATCGGCCTGAGACCCTGAAGAAAGGGCAGTTGAGTGCAGTAAGGATGGAGGACAAGTATGGGGGCCCTTCCGTACAAAAGGGGGGTTAGAGATGACTGGCTGCACCCAGGAAGCCAGAACCACAGAGCCTACCTACCCACCCTCAGGCTATCTGAACTCAAGGATGGCTTTGCTCCCCAAGATCATGACTGATAGGGCAGGTGGCCAGGCTGAAGGGCACAGGAAAAGCCGATGGATAACCAAGGCTGACCCTCTAGGAAGCCTGTCCTGCTTGAGTCCCTGTGATGGGACTCAGCTTCAAGATGACCTTGGGTTCTGAAGGACTTGGCCCCGATCCCGCATCGCCAAGAAGTAACCAGGGACTGCCATCAACTCCCAAGCAGGAGGATACAAGAGAAAGGGGACCAGGGCAGTGTGGCCCCGACCCAGGGGAGGGGAAAGAAGAGGGAAGAGTCTGGCCTTGTTCTGCAGGGAGAATGGGGGATTGGAAAGCCCCTCAGCTAGGGGATCGATTCTGGTGGTCAGCATGGTGGGTGCATTATAGCGTGCCTCCAAGAGCTGAGACCCTTGCCTCCCACTTTACTGGTGATGCTGGGGCTGGTGGGACTATTCTCATTTCAGTCCCACGGAGGTGACCCCTCCCCTCCCATGGAGCCTGGGCATTCCATGTCCAGGCCTGGGCTGACATGTCCTTTCCAGAATGCTTGATTCAAAGTGGGGGGGTCATCTCAGCAACACCCCGATACTGGAATAGAAATAGTCTACCACAGTGGGGGTGCACACCCCACTGCCTCTCATGGGGTCCCAAACAAGGTCCCTCACCAGGGTGTCTCCCATCACAGTGTCCACACTGGCTGCCCAGAGGCCCCTCCCTGGGAGATGCCCCATGTATAGGTCCAAGTCTCCAGCAAGGCTCAGAGTCCTCTAAGCACAGGCTGGACCTGGCCACAGAGCTCCTTCCCCAATGCCCAGATCCAACTTACCAGACAGGCTGAACCCCGACTGGTGCAGGTTGCGCACAGGTGGCACGGAGATCTTGCCAGGGCAGGATGCACGGGCCTGTGTTCCACTCCCTGGCTTGGCAGGTAACATCACTTCATGGACTGGCCCATCATACAGGCCTCGGGGCACACCATGGATCTCTGCCAGCTGTGGGGCCAAGAGAGCTGGGGGTTGAGCCAGCTAAGCAGCTGGAGGGCAGCAGTCTGCCTGCTTTGCACCCCAACTTGGCCCAGCTCAGGAATTCCGTGCTCCCCTGCCTTGCACTAAAGGAGCCCACACAGCTTCATACAGGCTTCCTTCCTCGGTGCGCTCCCTGCATGCTCACAGCCTGCACACTCACACGGTTACGTCTGCACCTGTGAGCAAGTTTTTCTAGGGAGTTCCTGCATGCGTGTTCATCCAGCAGTGAGACCTCAGCCACTATGGCACAAAGCAGCCTCATCTGGAACTGGAACCAGAACCAGGCTCCAACTGTGGCCCGAGGAAGGCCAGGATGAGGTTCTGGGTCCAATACCCCTGAAATGGTTCAGACAGCCAGAGGAATTTCCCAGGACCCCAGTATGAACGGATGACCTGAAGACTGAAGTCAGATCCTTAGATGGACCTGTGCTCCTGGCTGGCCTTCCTTTGGGAGTCCTGGGTCACACATGACAACCAGGCTTAAACCAGCCCAGGAAACTATGACTAGAGCCTGTCGGCAGGCATGGAGGGGGGTGGGGGGCAGATGATAGAGGACCAGGGCAGGACAGAGTCCAAGTATTCAAGCACGACTGAACCATCCTCCACTACCTTGTTCCCATCTACAGATGGGACTGAGCCTGCCTCGGTCAGCTGCACCACCTCAGGCCCCTTTCGGGGTCTCCATTCCTGCCCCACCCTTCAAAGGTCAAGTGGGATGGGAGTTGTGAGCTCTGGGCCACAACACATTTGTGGTAATTTACTAAGGAATGTGGTTATAGATGAGTCTATATCCACATTTCCTATGACAACTGTGGGTACTCTGTCAACAAGACGCATCCAAGCAGCTGACAGCGGGCACAGAAGCTGCCAGGCTTCCACCCCTCCCTCCCCAACGATTGGCAGCCCCTTGGCAAATGATGGGCCCCATTCTGCTTTTCTGACCCCTGGGAGTCAGAGCCAGGTCAGCCAGGAGACAAAACTTCACACCAGCTCCCTGACTCTGACCTGGCACCCATTTGAGCCCCTCACCCTCACCCCAGGTCAGCCCTTTACCCTGTTGCGAGCCTTTATCCTCTTATAGACAAAGTCTGGGAACGTCTTCCGGGGAATGAAGCGGCCAGCCCCTGGGGTGACAAACAGGTTCCCGTCCTCTAGCACCACTCTGCCCTGACTTATGACCACCATGGGCACTCCTCGGCACTCCATTCCTTCAAAGATGTTGTACTCCACGTTCTGGGGAGAGGCCCACACACAGCAACCTTCATCCCTGACCCCAGGACTGGCCAGCACTGCAGGTGACCTGCATGTGCTGTGCTAATACCCATACCCAAAATGCAACTGAAGTGGACAGGTATCACAAAAGGAATCAGTTCTCAACCAACCCAGCATGTCCAAGTCATAGGGTTCTTATGAAGCCAGAGGGAGTAGAGTGGGGGGTCACCTGCCCTTGTTTGGGTAGGTATGGCACCCTCTGCCTCAGTCTCTATCTGTAGGATGGATCAACAGATCCAGCCACACACCTTTGGGGGAAGGAGACACGAGGCATTGGTTAAGGTGCTGGGTAGATAGAGCTCTGGATTGGCCAAGGCTACCAAGAGCCACACTGGGGGGTGGACAGGGGTCCCCATTCCTGGACCTCTCCTGGGAAGCTCCTCAGGGCCTGGTTGGACCCTACTGAGGAAGGAGGCCTTCTCACCAGGTTGTGGCTCTTGGCAGAGATGACCTTCGTGGCTCGGGGGTTCCAGATGACCAGGTCGGCATCAGAGCCCACAGCCACACGCCCCTTCCTGGGGTAAAAATTGAAGATTTTGGCAGCATTTGTACTGGTCACACCAACGAATTCATTCTCGTCCATTTTCCCTGAAGCCTGAGAAGCAAGAAGACCAGCTGAGGGGAGGTTGTGTTGTGGGTCACCTCAAGATCAGGAGGGGCTCCAGCCACAGTAGCATCACGGCAACACCCCAGTGGCACAAATGCCCATCCAGGCAGGGGCACCAATGACTATGACCAGGCAGTTCAGCGATGTGACCACTCCTGGGGATACAGCCTTATGTCTAGCTCCCTCTGTGAATAAACAGTGACACTTTGATGTCAACATTGGTGTCCCTGGAGGCACTGTGACAGTCTCCCTGGTTCACAAGAACTCAAGGTGGGGACTAGGATGTTGGGGGAGGAGAGACCTGCCCTCCAGCCTGCATGTGTATACATGAATGCATTTCGTCTGCTTTTTAAAAAAACTTTAAAAATGTTTTAAATTTTTATTTAATGTGTATGTGTGTATTGCCTGCATGTAGGTAAGTGCACCCGTGTCATGCAATGCCCAAGGAGGTCCGAAGAGGCTGTCGGATCCCCTGGGACTGGAGTTACGGACAGCTATTAGCTGCCATGTGGGTGCTGGGATTCGAACCTGGGTCTTCTGCAAGAACAACCAGTGTTCTCAACTGCTGAGCCATCTCTCCAGCACCCTGCTTTTTTAAAAAACAAATAAACAAACAAACAAACAAACATGGTTTTGCTGTGTATCTCAGGCTGACTTTAAATTCTCAGTCTTCCTGCCTCAGTCTCCTGAGTGCTGAGACTACAGGCCTGTACCATCTTGGCTGGGAATAAATTCATTCTTTAAAAAATTTTTTTTTCATTGACGTCTGCCCTGGATAACTTCGGTTGTCAGCTTGACACACCTGGGAAGAGGGAGCCTCAACTGGGGAACTTCATCCAAATGGCCTGTGGACATGTCTGTGAGGCATTTTCTTGATTAAATGATGTGGGAGGGCAGAGCCCACTCTGAGTGGTGCCATGTGGGCAGGTGGTTCTGTGCTGTGTAAGAAAACAGGCTGAGCACAAGCCAGGGAAGCAAGCCAGTGAGTTGCATTCCTCCGTGGTCTCTGCCTCAGGTTCTGCCCTGCTTGAGTTTCTGCCTCGGCTTCCCATCAGTGACGGACTGTCACTTGGAAGACTAAGATGAAATAAACCCTTTCCTCCCCAAGTGGTTTTGGTCAGTGTTTTATCACAGTAAGAGAAGGTAACAGAATGCAACCATGATATACTTAAGGGGTGTTGAGTACCACTCTGATACACAATGACAGTCTCTAGGGAGGGGAACTGTCCACACATGCAGATGTCTCTTCCCAAGGGATGTTAGGTGTCATGAGCTGCTGGGCTAAGGCAGGGAGGGGTGGTTCTGGTCTCTATTTCAGGAGCATTTCTGGAAGAGGACATCCTGCTGACAGCCCTCCTGCACCCCCGTCCCCCCAGGCCTGGACTCACCACGCATTTCTCCCAGACCACAGACATGCGCTCCTCCACGCCATTGATGCCCTCAGGGATCAACGTGAAGTTATCTTTGCCAACAGCCTTCTGGGCAGTAGTGAAGGTGCAGTGTGAGCTGCCGGTCACCTGGAGGTCCCCACTGAGAACAAACCAGGGTCAGAGCAGCCCAGGGTCTGGCCCCTCCAGGATTGGCCAAGGCTGGGTCAGTTCCAGCCTCCTGGGCAGCCAGCCATGGGAGTGGAGAGGTCGGAGCTAGTACCTCAGTACAGAAGGGAGGGCATGGACAGCGTGGACAGAACGTGAAGGGTATGAACTGAACCAGGAAGGGCCCAGAGCAGAGGGTAGGGGAAGGGAGCCCCAGCTGGGACCAAAGGGCCCTCACCTCCCTGACTGGCTGCCCTGCAGGAGCCTGGGGTTCCTGTGGAGGAAGCACAGGCACAGAGGCCACAGGCTGACCTGGGCTTTGACCGAGTGACTTCTCACCTGGACAACAGGGAGGTGAGGTGATCCGCAGTGGTGGGGTCCGGGCTAACGGGGGGCGAGGTGACAAAGGCCGCAGCCTGGGCCCAGTTCTTGCTCCAGTAGTGTGAGCCGTCAGTACCCAGGCTGGCAGCGAGGGGCTCCCCAAAGACCACCACACCTGAAGTGGGCAAGGCCTGTGGTAGGCATCACACCCGCAGCCTGCACCCCACAAGGGCCTGAGCACAGCACAGGCTTCACACTGTGAAACCAACACCCCTTTGTTCCTTGCTTTACTGGCCAAGGAAAGCTTGTCCTTTTCAAAACTCTGGGGCCCCTGGCTAGTTATTTGTTATTAGGGGCAGGGGTCCAGTAACTGGAATAATAACCCTCTCCATATCCAAAGCTCTGCTAGGGGTCAGGCTGTTGGGCACTCTAGCTGGGTCAGAGTAAGACATGACCACATCAGCCTGTCAGTGCAGACTCTCATGACCCTGAGTCCCAGACCTGGACCTCCTATCAGGGCTCATGACTCTAAGCTGAGCTGTTCCCATGAGTGAAAGGGAAAACACCAGGCTCAGGGTCGGGTGGGGGCCAGTGCAGCTGCAGCAGCTTCTTAGGAGGAGGCTCCTACAGGCCCTGCCTGAGCTATGCCAACAACCCCACTGATCCTCTTCCTTGTGAACAGGGTGGGTTTCTGCATCAATCTTTGAGGAAGGGAAAATGCCCAAGTACACACTCACTCCAGGGACTCCACAGCCTCAGGGCAGGTCTAGGAAATGAAGCCTCATTATGAGACCCGGTGGGGAAACACACTGGCACTGAATCCTCTATTGCTCTTGAACATGCCACCTTTTTACCCCCAGTCCCAGCTCTCTCCAGGCCCTGGTGGCTGCTGGGGCTTCTGTGGCCCTCTGAGCTCCGCAGCCTTTCTGGGGCTGCACAGTCCAGCCCCTGCCAACCACAGCTGTAGACAGACCCCTCACTTGCCAGGTCACATGATCTGCGTCTAACTAGTTAGAGTGATATGGGCAGGGAGCGTCCCCACCCTCAGGCCTCAGGAAGCACCCCAGCTCTTGAAACCACAGCAAAAATGAAAACGAGCCCTCCATAGGAACAGAGGCCCTCTCTCAAACGCATCCAGGGAATTCTGTCCCTGGCATCCCCTGGAGAATAGATGCATAGGCCCCTGGTTTGCTAAGGGCCTCCCTCCAGTAGAGAGCTGCTCTCTGACAAGGCTGGAGACTGGGGTTTGGCCCCATCCCTCAGGGGACACAGGGCTCCTGAATCTCTTGGGCTGCACCCCTGGGACTAACAAAGCAGGTGCCCCATGAAGAGGCCTCCTCTGTTTGGCCTACCACTGGAGGCCCTCAATGACCAGCAGAGCTCCAGGAGGGTAGGGAGGTGGGGAGCGAGGGCTGGCACTCACCCCTGCGCTTGGCCTGAGCAACTGTGTCAGCAGCACCCTTGCTCATCACCTTGGTGACATACAGTGGGCAGTTGGCTTGCTTGGCAATGGTAACAGCTCTGTACACAGCCTCTGCCTCTACCTGGTGAAGGGAAGGGACAGTGAGGCCATGAGGGGTTCTGAGACTTCCTGACCCCCTGGTTCTGCAACACCCGTGGTATTCCGGGGCCCAGCCTAGGCCTCGGTGTCTGGAATCCGGGCTGACCCACACGGTCCGCAGGACTCAGTGCATCCCTTGCCTCAGGTAAGTGCCATGCGTGGAGTGACAAGTGGTGGTGTGGAGGATGCCAGGCAGGCAAGGGGGTCTGTTGTGTCAAGCTGCCCAGGTGAGGGCAGGACAAGCATGTGGCACAACCGACTTAGACCAGTCCCAGAGGGAACAGCGGTATGCTCAGCAAGCCATACTCACCTCCTCCGGGTGGCTGAGCACATGGCCCTCAGGGCCGGTGACGCCTTGTCCCAGCAGCCGCTTCTGTTCCTGAATGACCAATAGGACGCCTTGCTCCAGCCCCAAGGAGCTCAAGCCCTGGACACGAGGTCTGTGACCAGCAAGCCCTGTACCCCAAGCATAATCCTAGGCCCCTGAGCCTCCCAGAACAACCTAATCACAAACTCATAAGAGAGAGGACTTGGAGAAAGCTGGCCCAAGACAAAGGTTCATGCCTGGAAGACTCCCCCAGCCCCCCACCCCACCAGTCACACGGCACTCCCCAAGTGGGGCACGTTGTAAGGCTGGCTAGGGTACTTTGATAAAAACTGTGACCGTCATGGAAAAACTTGTGTTGTGGTTCCAGTGTTTCCTCAAGACTCCACCTCATGGGCTACTTGACCTCTGACCTAACATTCCCTCCTTAGAAGTCTTGTGGGAGGAAGCACTCCCATCAGAGCTCATTCTGTCTCCACCAGCTTTGACTGCCTACAAAGCCAGCTTCCTTGGTATCGCCTTGACCCACCCAGCCAACCCCGTGGGCAGCAAAACCCCACACACCTCGTCCACGATATCCCCATTCTCCGCGTGCACCAGGGCCAAGGCTCCCAGGTCCCGGATGAGGCTGAAGATTTCATATATCTGTGAAGGAAGGAGATGAGGTCCTGTGTCTGCAGAGCTGTCTCTCCAGCAGCAAGCAGCCAAGGACACCCACCTGTTTCCTTCCTCTGCAATTGCTCTCACCTGGCCATCGGTACACTGGCACCTGTCCTTGTAAGCCATGAAGACCAGGAAGGAGTTCACACCTGGAGGAGAGGCAGGAGGGGCTTAGACAACCCAGGAGAGGCCCCCAGAGATGGGGACCTTCCACAGAAGCTGGGCTGACTGGCATAGCACCCTGAAGGCAAACCTTCCCCACCGACAAGCCAGGCCACATGGATAGAGTCCACCTGACTCTCTACTGCTACTCATACCCTTTGCTGACCCATTGGGAAGCACAGTTAAGAATATAAACCACAAGGCTGGGCGTGGTGGCGCACACCTGTAGTCCCAGCACTTGGGAGCTGAGGCAGGCGGATCTCTGTGAGTTCGAGGCCAGCCTGGTCTACATAGTCCAGCTAGGGCTACAGGGAGACCCTGTCTCAAAAAAAAAAAAAAAAAAAGAGAAAGATATGCACCACTACCAGCAATCAGACAGGTATCCACCCCTGCAAGGCACAAAACACAGCGATGGGATTGTTGTCACCTGAGCCATATCTGCTTTGTAAGAAAGGCAGTCAGCAGTCAGGCCTGGAATGCTGGGGGAGCCTCTCCTGGGCCATCTGGCATGTCACCTGCCTGCAGGTACTGAGTCCTACTTCACTATGCCATGGCTCATACTGCACACTCACTACACCCTGAGATAAGCAGGCTGGTCTCAGGGCTAGGCTGGACACACAGGAAGAGGGGTTGCTGCCCACAGTGTTGGTGTCCAAGCAGCAGCAGAGCTGAACCTTCCCAACTCCTGACAGCCAGAACCTGCCCACTTCCTTGGACCAGGACCCATGAAGGTCCACAGAGGTCTGGAGGCAGCCCCAAACTCACTAATCCTAGGGCCCCTTGTTCCTCACTGGGTACAAAGTGCTGATGTAAGGCACTCTGGTGTAAACTGAGTCATGCTGCGCCATCCTCCCATGATGACCTGCCTGTGGTATCTGATGGCAGCTATGGTCTGGGGGCAGCTCTGACAGGGAGAGGGGGCTCTGTAGGCACCTCCTTCCTACCCTTGCTCAGAGGCTATAGGAGCTCCTGGTGTTGCCTGGAAAGCCGACTCCACCAGGCCCAGGTTGGGGGAAGTGTGTGCTCCAAAGAGCGCCAGTAGGAGAACTCTCTGGAAATGGAGCCCAAAGGAAATGGCCTTCATGAGGGCTCTCTACCCTTGAGGCCAGAGTAGCCAGGCCGTGTCCCCTGTAAGTGCCAAGGGCTGCAGTCAGTAAGTCCAGTGTCCTGCTCACATGTGAAATACAGACCCCACTCAGAACACTATGGTCAGACATCATATAGTACAATACTACTTTCTGTCAAACCTACCAATAAACTGAGGTGGTTTTAGCTTCAGGATTCTTTACAGGGATGGAGCTAATCCTTATTTATAGAGGAGTCAGTTTCTGTACAGGCAGCAACACAGACATACAGAGCTTAACACAACCTCCTAAAAGGACCCAACAGCCACGGGGAAGGTGGCTGTACCTTCCTCACCTGGGCATCTCTTTTCTGAGAACCAGGGGCCCAAGGACACCGTGGACACTGGAGGTGTCCATGGCAGAGGACCTCCTGGTTGTTTAGAACCTTTGAAGGCAAAAATAACTTTGAGTGCTTCTCCTCCACCTCAATTCCTAGACACCTGCTCTCAGGCTGCCAGACTGCAACAGGACACAGGGTTCCAGGAGGGACCCCTCTGTATCCCTCAAGGCACAGGGATCCCCAGGCACTGCCCACCCTTCACGCTGCTCACCCTTGTCCCTGACCAGGGCCTCCAGCTCCTCCTTGGCGCTTTCATGCCAGCGGGGGATGTCCACATGCAGGGAGTAGTCGCAGCAGGCCGCACTGTCTGCACGCTCCCGCCACTGCTCGTAGGCTGCCAGCAGGCTCACACCCGCATCGGGGAACACATGATCCACTGTGGAGGGGAGCAGGGTCAGCCAGGTTCCCCACCTAGTCATAGTGTCCCCTGTCTCCAAGGGAGATTTGATCTCACATTCCCAAGACAGAAAGGGGGATATGAGAAAGACACAGCAGAAGGAGGTACTGTCTCAACTACCCACCAGTTCTGTCCTGTCTGCTCACAGACATCTCCTGTCCCACATCACCCAGGCCCTGCAGGGCTCCACACTTCCAGAAAGCTCCCCTCACTTAGTCAGTTTCCATGGCTTCACTGACTCACAAACCCCAAATGGTAGCAAATCACTCCTGCACACGGCCACTGTGCTATCACCCCTCCCTGTCCAAGGTCTGAACACTACTCACTGGTCTCTCTTGAGATGTGCCAGGAAAGAGCTCAGAGGGGTCACTGAACAGGATGGTATATCCCAGGGAAACAGCCAATGCCTCCTCCATGCCACACCTTCGACAGGGTCCTACTTATCTGCAGGTCACTCAGATCACCATCCAGGACCCTTGAGAGTGGGTGCATGTGCCCAAAGCCACTGTGCTCCAGCCTCATGCCTGTGGCGTTTGTCCTCCTGGAGACACCTCACAGTCTGTCCAGGCCTCAGCACTGGAGCAGGAGAGGTGACAGTAGAAGTGCAGTTGTCCTGACCCCCTCGGCCCACCATAGACAGTGCTTGAGCAGCAGGGGCCTGAGATGGTTGCCCTCTCCAGCAGATTACCAGGTGACCCACTGCTAGTTTTCCTTAGCTTTGTGACAGAGCCAAACAGACCAAGCTGTGACTGTGGCAGTGGCCGAGTGTTGCGGTGAATTACCCCAAGCCTCCATGGCCACCCTCCCTGATAGCAGCAGGGGCAACGTTTACTGTGTACCAGGTGCACAAAGAAACGTGTATGGTAACCCCTTTATCCTCAGGACCACAAAGCAGATCACCTTCCTGCCCCCCCTCCCAGGCATGTAGTGTGGGCATGGGAGGTCGGGGCCATTGAGGTTCCTGAGACCAATGGAGAGATGCCCAAAGTGGCTATGCACTGGGGTCCCGCTTGGCTCCTGAGCTTAGCAAGTGCAAGTTCATGGAGGCAGGGTATGAATTCACCTCACAGGCTTGTTAAATAGGGTTCCTCAGCCGGGCGTGGTGGTGCATGCCTTTAATCCCAGCACTGGGGAGGCAGAGACAGGCAGATCTCTGTGAGTTCAAGGCCAGCCTGGTCTACATAGTGAGTTCCAGGACAGCTGGGAATACAGGGAGACCCTGTCTCAAAAACACCAAAAAAAAAAAAAAAAGGGTTCCTCTGCCAAGCTTTGTGTAGGGGGGAGATCTTAGAAGACCTATGAGCTGGTGGGCGTGGTGGCAGACACCTTTAATCTCAGCACTTGAGAGGCAAAAGCAGGTGTATCTCATGCAGTGAGAACCTGTCTTAAAAAAAACAAAAAAGCAAAAAAACAAAACAAATCTATGTCCCATGCCTGGTATACATATCCCTCATGAAATGAGATCGCTGTTGATAATGAGTTGAGACATATATGGAGGGAGTTTAAAATGGTCGGTATAGGTGGCCTGTTTCCCAAAACCACAGCCTCCATCTTTAACAATTCCTTAACACAGGTAAGAACTTACTGCAAATGACCTTCAGAGGCGAGGTTCACAGTCAAACAACACAACCCCCAACCTCCTGTCCAGAGCAACGGAGTTTCCAAACCCCAGTTCCTGACCAGCTGCCAGTACCCACAAAGGAGTAAGTGGGCACATATCCATCTTCATCACAGAGCCCATCAGCATCCCAGAGCTGGCCAAGGTAACTGGACCAGAAGAAGCAAGGACAGCACGAGTGTCCACCATGCTTTAGATGGAGACATAAGGAAGGATAACTTAGGAAACAGCCTCATGCAACACTCCTCCTGTACTATGGAGACGGGGGGCCTCTGCCCCAGAGAGGGGTGCTGCATACTCACGGATCATAGTGGTCCCACCCGCCAGGGCCGCCTTGGTCCCTTGACAGAAGTCATCGGCTGGAGTCATGCCCAGCACAGGCATCTGCAGCCGGGTGTGGACGTCAACTCCCCCAGGCAGGACCATCAGGCCGTGGGCATCGATGGTTTTGATGCCCCCGGGCACGATGAGGTTTTCTCCAATTTGTCTGAAAGCAATAAGGGAAGATGTCACTGTTCATGGAGAGCCCAGATCAGAACCTGAACAAGTTCTGTGCCAAGTCGGTGGCTCTGAGAAGTGGGTGTTTGGGCTCCTGACCCTGAGGAAAAGAGCAGCTCAGATAGCCACCTGCCTGCCCAGAGAACTAAACACACTGTCTCAGGAGGGCAATGCAGAGGACCCAGTGCTGTGCATGCACACATACAATCTATGAAGGTCTCTGGGTAGAAACTTACTTAATCAGACCATCTTCCACGTACAAATCAGCATAAAAGGACTGGTCATCATTCACAATCTTCCCACCTTTGATGAGAAGGCGGTCACTCTGGTAGAAACAAAACGATGGACACTGATGGAGACTTTCCCTAGTTGTTAGGAAACATCTCTAGGGCACCTGGAATGACTGAAATTCTGACAGTCTGTAGCCATAAGAACTATCTCAAGCCAAGAGGTGGACACCTGTAGTCCCAGCACTCAGAAAGCGGAGGCAGGTGGATCTCTGTGAGTTCAAGGCCAGCCTGGTCTATATAGCCAGTTCCAGGCCAGCTGGGGCTACATTGTGAGACCCTGTTTAAAAAAAGAACAAGCTCAAAGTCTTGTTTACTATATGCCCAGGTGGGGATCTCACAAATAGCAGACCACAGAGGCAGCCCCACATAGCCCTGGCACTGACTGTTCAGATAATGAAGGCAGGGGGCTGAACGGGAACACCAGGGTCAAGCTGTGTTGGGGAAAGTGTAGAGACACAGTGGATACATTCACAGCTTCCACATCACTGTCAGAAAGATCCATCCAGAGGGAAGAGCTGACAACCCGGAAGGGGCTCCTAGCTGTTCCCCTGCGCACTGAAGAGGCTAGGGGCTGACAGAGCTAATGAGGCTTTTGGTATACCAGAATGCTGTGGGCCCATGATGATGTCAGGAAGTCTGAGGGAAAGCAGAGCCCAGAAGCATCAGTCCTCAGTCCAGAGGCTGCAGCTCAGGGGGTGACAGATGGAGGTGGTAAAACTCATGCACAGGTCATCAGACTGAGACAGACAGAAGAGCACAAAGATGGGGGACGAGACAGGCTGAGGGAGGGAGGAACAGAGGTTGCCCTGGGGCTTCTCTGAGGAGCTGGTACTAGAAGCCATTCAGTGTGAGTGGCCTGAGGAACTTGTTCCAAGCCCAGAAGCAGCTGTACAAAGGCCCTGTGGCAGGATAGAGCTTGAGTTGACATCAGGCCTCAGAAGAAACTAAGGGTTACAACTTAGCAAGAGGAGGAACAGGAGTCAGGGCTCCAGAGTCTACGGGCTGACACTGGGGGCCAGAAGCAGGTTTGATTAGCTCCGATTAATACAGAGATCACCTGGGCTGCTGGGAAGACAGCAGATTATGGTATTAAACAAGGGAAGTGGGGTGGCTTCTGAGGTTATCCAGGGAAGATGAGACCAGGGTTATGAACACGGTTACCAGGCATGAACTTGAGAAGGAATGGGAGTTGGTGGGCAGGACTAAATGATGGAGAGCCATGGGTGTGAAGGGCAACAGAGAAATCAGATGGCCACAGGCCCCAATGCAGTGTGCAGCACTCGAGTGGGTGAGGAGTCTGTGGGTGAGGCCAGCTCCCTGGTCTAACCCCAACAGCATGCGCTACAGCACCAAAGAAGTTGGTTCCACTGCTTGGCACCCGTAAGATAACTTCTAAGACCATTTGGGCTAGGTCATGCGTGCCTTTAATCCCAGCAGTTGGGAGGCAGAGGCAGGCAGATCCCTGTGAGTTCAAGGCCAGCCTGGTCTACATAGTGAGTTCTAGGCCAGCCAGGGCCACAGGGAGACCCTGTCTCAAAAAGATTAAAAAAAAAAAAAAAAAAAAAAAAAATTCTTAAAAACAACAAACCAGCACGGAGATGTGCCACTAGGACCAGCTTTTGCTGTTATTTTACATAGTAAATCATCCAACTGTTGCCTTAAGACTATATAAAGAGGGGCTGGGGAAATGGCTTCACTTGGTAAAGTGCTTATAGTATGGGTCCCCAGAGCCCATGTTTAAAAAAAAAGGGTCAGATGTAGTGGGGCACACTAGCAATTCCAGTGCTGCTCCAGACCAGTGGGAGACCCTAAAAAAAAAAAAAAAAAAAAAAGATACTTCTAAGATCAACCAACCAGTCAGGAGTCATACAGAAAATAGACCTTACCAACAGAACTCTGCCAGGCCCTCGGAGTTGGGGACCTGGCCTTGGTGGAGAACAGGTGCAGAACCACATGGGAGAGGGACACCTGCTGATGTCCTTTTCCTTCCCATCATGAGCCACACTGCCCCTATGAGCTGACCAGGGAGGGCAGTCTGCACTGAACAGGGAAGCCTGGCCACACAACCAGGGCTCCTGTGGCACAGGGCAGCAGGGCCAGGGCTGCAAGCGTTTGTTTGTTGTACCATGAGTGTGAGGCCAGGAGAAGCAGCGGAGGGTATGGCGAACAGACCACCCCCCGAGTCTGCAAGGATGGGGAGCTTTTTGCAACATTCACTGCTCTGACAACAGAGTTGAACTCTGAACTCTCAGAGTTCTGCTGTTCTACCACTATGACAGTCTACCAAAGGCCTGGCAACTATGCCACAGGCCACATCATCCAGCCCTCTGCCTGTCTTTGTACAGCACAAAGCCACAGATAGTTCTCAAGTTTTATACTGGTTGGAAAAAAGTATTCCATGACTTGTAAAAACTTTATGAAGTACATATTTCAATGTTCACAGATGAAATTCATGGATTCAGTCATGTCCATGAAATAGCTCTGTTCCAGAGTACTCAGGTGGAACGGACATGGTGTGGCCCACAAAGCTGTAAAGACTTACTACCTGAACGTCATGAAGAAGCTTGCTGACGCTGTGCAAAGTGAGGCTGCAGCCCAGTTACTGCGTCTCTCCTCAGCTACCTACAGGTACTCACTGACCAGCCCCGCTGAGCACTAGTGCCTACCCAGATCCACTACCCTCACCCCTTTTCAGAGCTGCTGTGCCCCCACCCCTTTCCCTCGGTCCAGCCACTTTCAGGAAAACCCAGCCCTTAGGGGGAAGCCCTGGGCCAGAAGAGTCTTGTGTTCTGGGGTCCTTGATTAGATTCCAGGTTTTAGGCACCAAAACTTGGAGTCTGGGATCTTCTGGGTTTGGTGGAACAAGCCATGCTATGAAAGACCCTCCATCTGGATGGGTAGAACTCTGGTAAACCCTCTCCATCTTCCTAACAGACTGCCTAACCCCTTAGGAAGGTCCTCGTGAGCCTGCCATCTCCACTGGCCACATCTCCACAGCCAGCTGGCTGACAGGATTTCCTCCTTGGGCCTGGATCCCTGAGAACAGTAGGCAGTCAAGAGGCAGGAACTCATTCTGTTCCAGGAGGAGAGGCTCTTTCCTCTTTGAATTTCTTAGGAAGGAGTGAAGCCCTCAAAGGCTGGGGAGCTGACCTCCCTAACAGCCTGGCCAGGCTCCATAGCCCTCATGTGAAAACAACACCCACAGTTGGGTCTGAGACCCTGAGAGCTCCCCATCCTGATCCAGCTGATCCCAGGAGCCTCCCTCTCTCCCTCCCCTCCCTGCCAAGCTCCTGGCCAGCCCCTCAGTGGGAAGGCTTTGTTTCCTGGACAAGTGGGGTGGACACACTGACCTCCAGCTGTCAGCCTGTCGGTACCGGAGAGAGGGTCTGTCCAGAAAGCTGGGACTGCAGCAGGGTGCCGGTCGGTCAATGGTCAGTTACTACTCACCTCCCGCGGGGTCACCGAGCCCGGCTTCCTGGAGGGGCTCAGGGCCTGCAGGGGCTCCAGACCGAGTGGCCGGGGCTAAATCGCTTTGTTTCGGACAAAGCGCTAGAGACACCGAAGCGGCGCAGCCAGGGGCTGGGCGGTCTGCGGGCTGCGCCAGGAACAGCATCCGCGCGCCGCAAGGCCCGGGGCCAACAAAGGCCGCTTCGGCCAGCCGCCCGGGAGACGGACCTCCAGGCAGTATCCGCTCGCTTCCCCGGCTAGGCCCCGCGGGGACCTCGCACGGCCACCTGCGCTCCAGGGAGCAGGCCGCCGGCACACCCGGCCTGTGCAAGCGGATCCCAACCGGCCCCGCAGAGTCCACGCAGGGCCTGCGCGCCCGCTGAGCGACGGTGTCGGTTGCCCGCAGCGCGCCACGGGCGGAGGGGAAGGGCTGGCGCCCCGCCGGGGGCTGGAGCGGGGTGTGGGACTCTCGGGCAGGGCTGGGAAGGCGGCCGCCGCGCTTGCAGGCCACCCCCGCGGTGGGCACCCGGGCGGACGCAGCGGGGGCGGGAGCAGGGCTCACCGTGATCCGGGGGATACTCTTCTTGCCCTGGAAAGACATCCTGATCCGCCGGTCGACCGGGAGTCCCCGGCAGGGGCTGCACGGACGCAGACGTTGGGAGCGGGACACGCGCGGAGCCCAGCGTGAGCGCAGGGCGCGGGGCGTCGGAGAGTGAGCGCGCGACTGGCTCATCTGCATCCCGGCCCCGCCCCGCGCGCTCTCCGAACCGCCCCCTGGAGCTCCCAGGCGGCCACTGCCACGATCTTAGCTCGCACTCGCCGGTGCTGAATGGGGAGGGGTGGGTTACGACCTTTCCGGACCGACGTGTACGCAGTTGGTGCGGTCACGTCCCGCCGGGCCCCGCCTGCGCGCTGCCCTGTCGTGACCCCGGGCACCCCAGGCTCCGGGGTTCCAGACCTTTCTTGTATCCCGACAGCGGCTCTGGAAGAGCAGAAGACTGGCCAGGTGTGTCTGGCCAAATCCAGGCACGGCCCCAGGCCGGAGCATGAGAGCCTGGTCTGATGTGACCGCGGGGCTAGGAGGTGGAGGTGGCCCGTCGCCATGGGGGCCAGAGGGAGAGGACCAGTCAGAGAGAACCGGGAGGGAGACAGCCAGAGACCACAGGGCTGGACTGGGGGCGGCGAGGAGAGACCGAGGTGGAGACTCAGGGAGGAGAAGTCCAGGTGCGGCAGGGCGCGGACGGACGGATGGACGGACGGACGGACGGACGCGCTGCGCGCCCACGGCTGCCAGCACCACATCCCCGCCCACGACGTCCATCCTTCTCCTGCAGGGGACCAAGGGCCAGGGCCACACCGGGCCGACCCTGCGGACAGGCCACACTGGCCGGGTCGTCTCTGCTTGGCTCCTTTGGTTCCTCCACGGGGTCGTGTGGGCCCTGCTGTGGCTCTCTGACCTGAGGCCCTTGGCCGCTGCTGCGCGGCGCTTTCAGCAGTAACATCTTGTTCTCGAAGGCGTCCGCCGAGCTTGGGCCGGGCCGGAAGCTTCACCGGCCGGTTGGGTAGTGGCGCTGTCATGGTGGGAGTGGGAGATGGGCGGGTCAGGTGTCCCAAGCCTCAAGCTTGAGGTCTGACCCGTGGAACCGGGGCGGTCGTGCAGCCTCTCCCTCTCCTGCCCTCTGGAGACCAAGCAGAGGGTGCTGTCCACTCAACAAGTGCTGAACGGACCGGACTCAAGATGCAAGACTGTCCCAAAGAACCTTGTGGGTTTGCCCTCAGGACACGACTCCAGCACTGCTTCCTGCCTGCAGGTGAAGCCAGGGTCTATTTTACTGGACTCTGGTCATTTCTGGTGCTGTGAGGCCCTGACTCTGAATCTTCAGCAAGAAGAGGGTCTGATGATCTGGTTGGGTGGCTTCCAACCTGCGCTAAAGCTAAGGCTGAGGATTTAAGGTGAGAAGGAAGAGGTGCTCTGGGGCAACCCACCTCCACCTTCAGCCCATCAGGGCGCTGTGCTGTCACTTTGGAGCCTACAGAGATGGACTCTGAACAGAGAACTTCACCATCATATTGTCAGCCCAGCCAGCCCCTTCAGAGCACAAGTTGGAACAAGGACTTTCTGTGATACTCTGAGTGATGACAAGCTGTCAGTGAGCCAAGGCCAACACTTTTCCACCTGCCCTGAGCTTCCCACTTGCCCCCAAAAGACCCAGAAAACCTCCTCTCCTCACCAGTTGTGGGAGCATCTACAATAGACACAGTCAACTGTTCTTACTGAGGTGCAAAGTTCTTCCCCTTTGCTAAACTATTTGAGTTATTTTCTATGTTCCACATTAGACAAGGTCATTTGGAGAGGTCTTCCACGTGGCCACCCTTAGCCAGTGGCTGCCAGGTGCCTCTATCTGAAGAGTTGGCCTTCAGATGACTTTAGAAGACTCAGGATGAGATTGCAGGTGGAGTGTATCTCCCTCCCCAATGGGTATAGGTCCAGATTATGTCTCTGGCATAGAAACAAGCACTACTGTTCAGACAGTAAAAGCAGAAATGATTAACATCAATGACAAATTCACACTTTAATAACACCATGGAGGAACACTGAGCTAGGATTTAAAACAATTTTTATTAAAACTGTACAGTAATTTACAAATAAGTAAAAATTCTCTGGTATATATTATAGGAACCACAATACAAAAATACATGTAAAATTTGTAGTTGACCACCATACAAACCTAGTTTAAGCCTGTGAGTACTGTTTGCACTGAACAGAATGTGTTTGAGGGGGTGTTAAGGAATTGCTTCATAGAACACAAATACTGCCTGGCGCTTTGCCATGAGAAGACAAGCCCTGCTCCTTTTTGCATAAGTTTACAATAAAGCTTTTTAGAAAAGATACAGTAAACAAATATATGCTTTGATACATATATTCACAATATGATTTTCCTGAGCCTAAACTTAGATCCATCACTGTGTTAAAACACACAACCCATCTGAAGGGTTCAATGACGGAGTGACGGCAAGAGCTGATCAGCCACCAGTGCCTCAAAGCCACTCTCCGCCCCTCCCCTCGTTTGTGTTCACAAGCCGTGTAAGGCACTCGGGTTTCCTGAAGGCTACAGAGTCTGTGAGGGCAAAGACGTAAGTCACAGCCATAGCCTTCAGCAACAGAACGCTAGACCGTGGAAACAAAGTACACGTCATGTGGCTGTTCACAAAGGACTCTGTGGTTTACGTGGATTTCTAGTTTAGACAAACGAAAATGCTTATGCTGGTCTGTGCGGTACACACAGACTGAGTGGGCTGATAACTTAATGCAACATGAGATCGAGGTTCATGCCTCAATGACGCAGCGTGTGTTCCTGGGGACACTTCAAGGTCTCAGAGTCTCCTCCTGCTTCACCAGGACAGGGCCATTACACAGACATTTCCTGTTTTAGGAGCTAGCAGCAAGAGTCCAAATGCTGGAGGGAAGCTAGTCCGACCCAGCATTTGGGATAAAAGTTTCAGTCTGGGATTAGAAAATGTACCTTACTTTTGAAATACTTAACAAATGCTCACTATTTTTTTGGCAAAAGCCCAGTTCTGACTTTGGAATCAAGTGAAAAGGTGCTGATGACACAGGAACAATGAGATGTAAAGAGAGGAACATCGAGATAGACATGAGCTTTCAGGAACACAGCCAGGTGGAAGTGCAATTTGGTTTGTGGATATTATCTGAAACATCCAGTGTGCCATGTTCCTCCTATATACATACACTTTACATATAAACAGCAACAACTTGATAAGCATCAGTACATATTTACATGCTTCCTTCTGTATAGTCTGTCTTTTAAAGGAAATCCCAGAACTATGATTTAGAATGTCAGAGGGTGTTATGACATATTACAGACACACACAACATGCAAAACCATGATCCAACTAAACCAGAGGGGTGTGAGGCAGGGAGAGTCTCCAGTGCGGTTTTCAGTTCCTAACCAGCTGTTGTTCTCATGCAAGTTCACTTGGAGTTGGGCCAGGAACTCCCCCAGAGGCGGCCAGGTGGGCAGGGAATGGCATGGAGTTGAGACCATTTCTAGATGCTCTCTTTACAGTCACTTATCTTTAGCTAAATGGTTTACCTCACCTATAGATGTGTGGCAGCATTTATTAATACAGACCATTGTCTGCCATTCAGAGCTGAATAAATGTGCCAAGAAAAGGCAGTCATTTAAATGAGATAACACCATGAACCCAGGACTGAAGATTTCAGACTTGAGACCAAATGTCAGGCTCAACTAGAGAGGCACTGACCTTGTCCAAGTGTACCAGGAACCGTGACGTGAATGGCAATAGGAAGAGACGGACCCTTCATGACAAGTGCACTCAATGCATTTCCCAGTGGAATTCTGCACCCACTGAAGAAGAGGCTTATGTGTCCAATCCTATAAACTCTCTCCAGGTTTTGACCTAGGGGACCATAACTACTTGGTCATCTGCACCACAGTGGAACATTTCCTCTGACACAAATATAAAATGAACCTAATACTTCCAGACAGGGTGATCACTCCTCCCTTGGGCTACTGAACTTTGTAAAATACAACACTTGGTCACAGCTGGCTGCAAATCTCACTGCCCAGTGTGTCAGCTTCTAGGTGCTTCGAAAGGGCTCACATCTGTGTGTTGGCCTTTGAGTAAGCACATGCATGAACATACATACACACATATGAACACACATGCATACACACACTCCTAACTTCAGCATGGAGGGTGACAGCCTTGGACCACCAAGGATGTGAAGAAGACAGAAGAGCCACCTCCAGCCAGGGAGTCTGTCCATCCATAAGAAGGAAGACTTTCCTGGACTGCGGATGGGATCATCCAGCAGGAACAGAAATCTCACTTGAATAACCCTCATTGGTGCACTGTTTATCCCTGAAAAAGAGAAGTGCTTTAGTGCAATGTCCTCAAGGCACACATAAAAGGACACACTGTGGGACAGCACTCAAAGGTCAGGGTTAGGAGAAGCACTAGAGTTAGGGCAATAGCTATGACCAGACTGGCTCTTCATGTGGGCAGTGCTATCCCATCACGATAGTACCAGCTTTGTGGACCCAGGACCCACCACAATCCACATCTGGAGCCTGTAGCTGGCAGATGCCCTCCCAGGAGACCAGCTACTCACACATGTTCATCTGTGCATCTTACAGAGCCAGTGCAGACTTTACCTGAACCCCCTCAGTTGTCCCTGGCAGCTGCCACATTTCTACCCAATTTTCATTTTTCTCTGTACTTAAAGAGAGGGCCTCTGCTGAATTCTATTTTTTTCTTATTACTTTCACAAATTTTAATGTTTGTAAACATAAAAGGAGCTACTAAGGTTCCCTTTAACAAAGAGGGCGGACCCCAGATCAGTCCCTGATGCAGTGGGTGGGGGAGGACTCAGACATGAGCATCTACATAAGAGTACATTATCTCACACAGAATAAAAAATAAAAGCAGTCATGTTACACATATGCTAACTTCTACACACATTATAGTTGAAATCACTGCTGCCATTAAAATAACACATTGTTCTCTGTCTCTAACCTGACTCATTTCTAAATAAGTTGTCACGGAGCCGTCTATTTTTAGAGCATCACAAAAAGGAGGGAAGATCTTTCTGCTCTAGTCCTTCATTTTGCAGGTAGAAAGTCAGGGAAAAAACGGGGCGGGGGACTGCCACCAAGACACTTCAGTCTGAAGAGAACAGAGGCCCTGACACTCTACCCACCAACCCTCCCGCCCTATGAACCGCCTCTCTGAATTATGTGACTAACTGCCTGAAGTGTGGACAACATACGACAACATGGAGCAGAAATTCATTAAACACAAAATGCCACTCCCTAACGACGAAGGACGACAAAGGATCCGACTGCCAGGTCACTTGCTCTGTCCTTCTCTGAGCCAGTAGCTGCCCGGCTTGCAACACACTCTGTTCACTGCCGCTGTTTCCAAGGTGGCCGGTTTTCTACCCTCATCTGTGACTGCATGTGTGCACACTGCACATTCACACACACATGCACACAGTTCACGTCCCACACATACACAATTTCCAGAAAAGGATGAGTTTCCACCCTCATCTATCACTACACCATACCACACATGCACACTGAATACATGTGTACAGGTGTACACATGTGTGCATATAGCACATGCATGCACACAGCTCCAGAATGGCTGGCTTTTTGCTCTCATCCATCACTATACCACACAATGCACACATCTATAGCCATGTACTTGCAGAGATGCTAAATGGCTGACTTTCCATCCTCATCCATGATATACCACACACAATGTACACACACACACACACACACACACACATCCACATACATGCACACAACTCCAGAATAGCTACCTTTCTACCCTCATCCATGACTGTACCACACAATACACACAGACACAGACACACGCACACACATACATCCACATACAGGCACACAAGGCACACCCCCCCCAACACACATACAGGCAGAGGCATCATTCTGTTCCCAGGCTTCCAGTCCTCTCAAATCCCTGTTGTCAACCCTGCCAAGTCCCAAGTACTCTGGGAGGGTGCCATCCCCCTGTATTCCTTCTCTTTCTGGACACTGGTCCAGCTTCAACTCAAGATCTCAGTTAGACTGGGGCCATGCAGGGCACAGAGTAAACAGGAGTGAGACCATCTTACGTGTCTGGTCTTGGTATCTGGCCCACAGGGCTCCTCAGCTCCACGCAGTCATTGGTCCAGTTCTAGCTCAGCCCTGAAACTCCTCACTCACAAGTGCCACTGTGGTCAGGAAGTCCAAGGCTACTTTTTCTCCACAGAGGGTCTGCCTACAACCTTGAGTTGGGACCACAGCTTCTGAAACAAGGTCCTGCCCCTCGGACTACACAAATAAACTGACTATAGCAGGCAGGCCCTGCCTTTCCTTCCAGGCCTGGATCTTGTGGATGGGGGAAGGGCACCCATCCAAACAGACCCAATAAAAGCCTGGAACTTTGCATCTCAGATGGACTTCCCCAGGCAGGAGCACAGCATAAATGTGGTTGTTTCCATTCTGTAGAGTGTGTTCTGTGCACATCTCACAGGAATGAGAGCTCCAAATCTGTTCAAGACCCTGCGACTTTGCCTGTGCTCCCATTTCCTGTGCCGATGATGAAGCAGTGTATCCAATGACCTCACTGTAATGACTCAGCCATCTGAGATGATGCACAAGTTCTGTCGATCCTAGTGAGTCACCCAGCATGGGGGTGATCTTGAGGACCCTGGAACACTCCACTTCCTCTGTCACCAGGAAGCTTGGGGAGCTACGATGCTGAGGTTGGACAGGATATGGTTCTCAGTCTCCATGAGTACAGTCAGTGATTTACTCTGCCATGTGGATGTGTCAGAGGCCATACCAAGAACTCCACAGTGACAAAGGGAGGCATAGCTTGCCACATACCTCCTTGAGAGCTCGCTCTCAGTTTACAGAGTGGGAGGAACTGACCCTAAAGGTCAGTTGAGCAGACCATCACAGGGGAGATGCATGCTGTGGAGGAAGCTTGTGGCACAGGGTGCTGCTGGGCCCCCAGCCAGGTCAAAGCCTCATGGAGCAGAGACTGTAGGACCAATCAATGCCTGCCTTATGGCACTGTGATGTGTTGTGATGAGGGCCAGCACCAGATCCATAGTCTGTCTTCTATCTGGGAGGGTGAGAGGCTAATGGAATTTCAGTATTGATCTGTGATGGGGATGGAGATAAAGGGTGGGATGAGTTGATAGAAAAAGCAAAGGGCTGAGCTATGGAACCAAAATGAGTAGGCAAGGAAGGGGGTGGGGCGGGGATAGGGCTGGGGGTGGAGAGGGGTAATAGCAGGGTCATCCCTAACTCTGCTCCTGTGGTAGCCGTGGCGAGCTCAGCCAGCAAGCCTGAGGATGCTGTCTCTCAGAGCTGCAGAAGCAACACCCTTGGGTAGCATGTGAAACGGCCCGGCATATGGATGGGGAAACAGCATTCTGATTTATGTCAAAACAGAGTCGGGGAGCAGCCCTGCCACCTGTGTTTGCATTGAGAGTTTTCATGGGATTTCAGCTGTTAGGAAACAGCAAGCTGCTAGCACAGGGGATGAGCACCTTCCTGGGGTCCTGGGAGTGCAGATGGTGGTACTGGCAAAGTCTGGGGGTCCACAACCTCACTCAGGGTCCAGAGTCAAGCACAATGTGGGTTCCCAAATGGGGAGCCTATTAGGAGGGCTGGGATCCTGAAGCCCCCCAACATTGCACTTTAGGACCCCAAAGCAATTCACTCCTACTTACAGGACACTGGAAGACCGGCTAAAAACAGAACCTTCCTCACAAGCTTGATTTGTCCAGTAGTATTAGCCAAACATGCCCAGAAACAAGAGATAACATGAGGGCTGTTTTGGAGCCAAGGCCTCTTCCCCCAGATTCTAATTTGGGGTTAAATTGAGTAGATGATCTTACCAGACAAAAGCCTTAGCTTTCTTTTCCTCCTCCTCTTCCTCTTTGTCCTGGCCACTCTTAGACTAGGAGACTGGCTTAGCTCCCCCTGGCAGCCACAGATCAACTAGTCCCTCGCCTGCCTCCTGAGAAGCATGTACGGACTGCTCAGCAATACCTGGTCTCCCTCTAGAACGTCTGAGAAGGGCTGACACGCGCGCGTGTGTGTGTGTGTGTGTGTGTGTGTGTGTAGCTCAGAAGCTTTGCCAAGGCCCTGCAAGTCTTGCCTTTGAAATGGAATGGGAAGGGGGAGGGTCTTGGTCCCTGGGTCTCATTCCTCACTTTGCTATCTGCCAGCTGGCAGGCACAGCTGCAGATCCCTGTGAGGCCTGGACTCTTACTGCTTTGTAACTCTTTCTCTGACTCTCCTGAACTGGGCTCAGCTTGATCCCTGGCTCATTCTCTCTTTGAAACTCATTCTTTCTTTGAAATGCCTAAATTGCCCCTGCAGGTCTAAGAACAGCTCAGACTTCTCAGCTTCTCCTCCTGGGGCTCCAGCTTGAAGACCACAGATTGAGGGGACAGTGTCTCAGCCTTTGGGGTCATGTGAGCCAAACCCCTTTAATCAGCCTGTTCCAATGGCTGTGTCTCTAGTAGGCTGTGTCTCTGCCTTACCCTGGGGTAACTGGCCATGATAGACACGCTTTCTTTTCAGCCAGGCCAAAGATCCAGAGAACAGTGTGGCTGCCCCAGTTTCTCTCACGGGCCCTGATGCTTTGAGGACCAAACCCAAGATTCTGTGACATTTTGCTTGGGTGGGAAGCCAGGAGCCTAACTGCCCTAGGCTCAACCTCCCAGCCTGGCCCATTCTTCTGCAAGCAGGCAAGAAAGACCTGGGCTCAGAGAAAAGGCTGCAAAGGCACACAGGAACCTCTGGATGCCCCCTCCTATGCTTATGAGAAAGCTGTGCGTGCAGTGTGGGACCCAGCCCCTCCACAGTCACCACTGGGTTCCATCTGCTGCCTTTGCGTTGCCTCATGCTCCTTCCTGCCACTGGAACTGCTGCCACTGAGCCCCTGTGGCTTCTCTGTTCACAGAAGACTCTTCATCAGCTGCAGATAGAGGTAGCAGGAGTCTGCTCTGAGCTAGATGCCAAGCCCAGAAAGCCTGGGTTCTGATAGATACAGCACCCAGAGCTAGCGAAGGCCAGGACCACACTGACTAGAACCTAAACACAACCCCCTGGGCCCTATACTGTGTCTTTGGAGCTCTAGCTCCTGAGTTCTGGAGAGCATGAGGCAGCAGGTACAGAGTGACAGGGCCACCAGCACCACAGTCCCCTCTGCTACCCTCCTGGCTCAGGCTGGAGAGCTGGGGCACTGGTCTGTTGCTACCCAGGGGCCCCCATCCCAGTTCTTAGAGAACTGTTAAAAGTAAAAGTCTATAGGTGGGCAAAGGCAAGAGGGCA